CATCCCCCAGCGACGCGACGCGACGCGAGGAAGACGCATCATAGGTAAGCCAAAATGGTTTCGTTCTCGCAAAGTTGTTGCTTTTGTGTTCCTCTCCTTTTGTAATACATTCCCCCCTATATACCAAATACACTATCTGTTACTAGTTCATCATGGTCACATCTCATATTGCTCCATCTCACATTGCTCCATCCCACATCGCTCCAACCAGCCCTTTCCCCCGCCCTCTTCAACCTCCGAGCTTTTTTTTTTTCTTTTCTTTCTTCTCCACTCGCTCTCCCTTTTCCCCCTTCCTCCCTCGCACTCACCCACCCACTCACCTTACTCACGCATGGAGTCATCTACCAAACCAACGGGCGACTCTGCTGCCCTCCACCACCTGGTTGACGTTGACTTAAGTCCGGAGCGCTTGTTTTGCGCTCCAAATTCCCCGTCCTCTGCACCCAGTATCCTCCAGTGAGACCCCCCCCCCCATTCTTCCCATCGTGCGTCCGTCCGTCAGTCAGTCAGCCAGTCAGTCACGCTGTGGTTTGATCGGGCTCGCTCGTCCGGAGTGAAAAAGTGAAAAACCCTTGTTTGTTGTTCTTGTTTCATTTTGTTTTTTCTAACTGCCTCCACCTCCACAAGGCTGCTTCTACCAACTCGCATACTTTTGCTTTAACTTTTATTGGCACATGATCTCGCGCGCGCACACACGCAGACACTCTCAGTCACGATCGCACCACGGTGCTAGCAACTTACAAAACAACTAAACCGGCCCCTCCCCCGCCACCTTCAAGTTCCGGCTCAGGTTTTTGGCGTTTTTGTTTTGTTTTGTTTTTTGCTCCCCATCTGTGCTGTGCTGTGCTGCGCTGTGCTGTTCTCCTCCCCCTTCACCCACCCCCTCCTGCAAATCTGGCTCAGCGCTCAAAGCAGAGATGTACCCTTGCGCAAACAAAAGCCACCACGACTGTGGCGTCCCAAAAAACAAAAAACAAAAATCCCACACTCGCAACACCCCCCGTCCCCGGTCGCTTTCAAGTTCCGAGCCCAAGAAGGTGCAACAAAACCCCGCTCACCTTCATCTTCCGAGTCGCTGCCAAGGGGGGCTGCTTGCTGCTTGCTGCTTGTTGCTTGTTGCTTGTTGCTTGTTGCTTGTTGCTTGCTGCTTGTTGCTTGTTGCTTGTTGATCTAGATGATGTTGAAGATGTTGCTGCTACTGCTGCTGCTACTGCGACAAACGCCTCTCAGTCCACCGTGCCCCCGCCTCCTTCATCTTCCGGCCTCCAAAATCAAAAACTCCTGCTATCCCTAACCCCCATCACCATAATGTCACCATAATGTCATCACCCGTATCATCATCGCAGGCAACTCCCATCACCCTTCTTTGGCTCGACTTTGCTCCCTCTTCAACAAGTGCCCCCCTTCCCCCGCCTCCTTCACCTTCCGAGCCTGCTCCTTCAAATCCCTCCCCTTGCTTCCCCCTTCGCTCCCACCGCCTCCTACACGCTCCCTATCGTCCACCTATGCGCTCTCACGCTCTCACCTCCCAACGCAATACTCGCCCTCCCCCCTCAGCCTCTCACCTCATGAGCGGATTCCTTTCTCTCGCTAGAAAACAAAAAAATCAAAAAACAAAACAAAAACCCTCTCCCCCAAAGTCCTATCTTCAAAGTCGGCCTTGAGCGAAAGGCTCCCGCTCCAACAAACTCCACCCCCACCTCCCAGCTGCCGCTCTTGTATCCCCCCTCCCACCTTCGCTCGCATGCACAGCCCAGTACCGCATCCCCCCCCCCAAAAAAAAAACATACATGCCTGTGCCCTCGACAGCTCCCCTCCTCCCTTTCCATCCTCCCCTCCTCCCCCCTCCTCCTATTGCTCTCCTACTCCTCCATCCCTCCATAATCTCTCACTCACTTTCATTTTTACCACTCGCTCGGCAATCGTTTCCACCACCGATGCTGGCGTATACAGACATTTTCAACTTCCGAGCGTAATTTTCATTCCAACTTCCGGTGGATCGCAGCTCCTCCACCGCGCTCCGCCCCGCAACTCCCTCCGGTTCACATCCCGGGCCGCTCCCTACCATCACGCATTCGTCTTGCGCTCGTGGTAGAGGGCGGGCACCACCAGGCATTTTCACCCTCCGAGCACGCTTTTCACCCCGGCAGCCTATGGACCGCGGCTCTTCCACCGCGCTCCGTATCGCGACTCCCTCCCGTCCATGTCCTGTACCGTTCCTCACCACCTCTGGGTACCTACTCTGCATCCCCTATCCTCTTAATTCTTCCCCTGCACGCATCTTCATCTCCCGGACTGTGAAATCGTCTCCTCGCCGCTTCCTTCTACGCCTCGCTCTGCCAAGCTCTGCCTAGACGAGAGCCCTCCGGGCACAAGACTGCGTAAGAAAACCAACGAGTCAGTGTTGCATGCGGCGGACGTGACGGAAACTGCTCTTTCAACAGTGTGTACGTTCAACCTCCGAGTTTTTCCGTACACCTTCATCCTCCGATGAATTTCCGTGCATTTTCACCTTCCGAAGCGCCCACCAGCCACGTTTGATAACCCAACTGCAGCTTACACATTTACACTTTATTCTTTTTGTTTGTACACATTTACACAATTCGCATTATGAACAGTTTTACATGGGCCCGTAGAATCCAGGGCGCGATGGCTGAGATGGCTGGCCAGGAAACCCAGGAGGTACTCCGAAGCCGAAAGGCGCATAGCCTCGAGCTTGCCCAGCAAAAGGCTGCATCATTGGAGGTTGCTGCGGACCAGCAGCCGCACCGAAATACTGCAGTGGAATGTGGTGGGAGTGTCCATGCTGTGGTGGTCGACTGTAAAAGCCTTGCTGGTGCTGGTGCTGGTGCTGGTGCTGATGCTGATGCTGATGTTGATGCTGATGCTGGTGTTGCTGGGCGTGGTGGTGATGATGGTGGCCTTGGGGCTGTGGCTGGTGAGCCGGCGACGAATGAGGCTGCGGCTGCTGAGTTCCAGCAACCCCGGCGGACGAGGGCGGAGACGTGTAGACGGGCAGCTTGTTTCCGAAGGAGGAGGCAACCACTGGTACGGCTTGCACAATCGGAGCCTTTTCAACCTTGGCAATGATATGCTTGCCGTAGGTGTACTTTCGCAGACTGAGAATGTTTGGCCGAATACGCGCAATCAGCTGATTGCGTTGGTCCTCGCAAGCGACATCCAGCATCTTTTGCACGACATAGTTGGCAAACGGATCTCGCATCATAGCGAGCAGCGCGGACGTGGGACTGCCTCTGCAAAAAAACGGAGCAGATATCAAACAGCGGAAATGGTTAGCGTTTCTCCCAGTCTTCCCGCTTTCGTCAATCCTGAATCCCTGCCCGAAAAGGCACTTACGGATCACTCTGCACCAGAATTTCATTGATTAGGGCCACGCGCTCCAGATCGGCCGAATGCACGATGCATTTTTCCACAACGTTCGAGGCAAACTTGTGCTGACTCAGCGGCACAATGCGGCCTCGCATGGCGTCGAGAACAATGGCCTTTGCCTCTTGTGGACCGTGTTCGAGCACGTGCTGAATGACATAGTTGCCGTACTGGTCTTGAATCAGGCGGGAGCAGTTACCGAGGACTTCCTGCAGCATGGACATGACCTGAAAGAATCACCAAAAAAACAAAAAAAAAAAACCCCAGTTAGAATCGAGACCTTCTGTTCCAAGCAAACAGTGGGCCAAGACAAACCTGCGTGGGAGTGCAGTGCTCGAGAATGCGCTGAATGACACGGCAGCCGTATGGGTGGGTGGACAGCGACGGCACCAGACCACGGAACGAGTCCACAACGAACTGCAAGTGCATCGCGGGCACTTGTTCAATGCATTTCTGAACAACGTGGTTTCCGTTTTGGTCCTTGACACACATAATCACGCTTCCTTCGAGCTCGCGGACAAGGGCAACCTGCACGAGAACAATGACATTCGGTGAGTCTCCACGCACACACCATTCGGACAACAACCAAGCGCGCCACAAAAACGCCACTTCAGAATGATCAAGCACTGGCTTACTTGTTGTGGCTCGGGGATAGACTCGACGGCCTTTTGAATGACGCGGCAGCCGTACATTTGAAGAGACAGCCGAAGAATGTGGCCTTCCAGCCGACGAGCAAGCTCGAGGCGGTGGGCGGCGGTGCCGTGCTCAAACAGCTTTTGAATGACATAGTTGCCAAACACGTCCGTCATGAGGTGCAGCGCATGCGGCAAAATCTCGTCAAACACGAGATTCTTCTCGCGCTCGGTAGCGGTTTCGAGTCGTTGCTGAATGCAGCGGGAGCCGTGTTGATCGCTGGCAAATTCGACAACGTGGTCTTTCAGCTGGGTCAGGGTGAGATCAGGGAGACGCGAGTTGCGGAACTCTTCAAGCAGCTTCGACCGAGGCTGCATGCCGGCCTGTGCGTGAGGGGACTGTGCGGGGCTTGCTGGCGACTGAGTTGCGGGTGAGGAGTGGGATGAAGAAATGCTGGCTTCGCGCTCGTCGTGGAAGCGACCGGCGGCGCGGTGGGAAGTCGCGTGAGGGGATTGCTGCGCAGGCGGGAAGTGTGCCTGCTGCCCGGACGCCGCTTGAGACTGAGCAAGTGCCGTCGTGGCAGCAACGGCCGGCAATCCGGAGCCTGGCATGGGAGCGAACTGGAAAGGCATCGTCAAATCGCTCACCGGTGCAACGCCAGCAGCCGACAAGTAAAAGTCTGCCGACGCGAGCAAGGCGTTCACTAATGGGGAGGTGACAGAGTGGTTGGTCATTGCTACGTTCGCCAAAAGACCTGCCAGGGCCACCGGGTGCTGACACAAGGCCGTGGCAGCCATGGCGAGCGCAGGAGGCGAAGCGAGCAGAGCAGCCGCCTGTTTGCTCTGCAGCTGCTGCAACGCCAAGAGATCAGCTGGAGCAGCCGCAAATCCAGTCGCGGCATTGTTCCCAGAAGAATGTCCGTTTTGGCTGGAGCTTGCCGAACTAATGGAGCTGTTAGAACCGACGCTATGAACGCCTTCTGCTCCGTTGCTGTTGCTACCGCTACCGCTGCTGCTGCTGCTGCTGACACTGTTAGTGCCCAAAAGTGCAAATGCCACGTCGAGATTCGGGGCATTTCCATTGCTTGGTCGCGCAAGCCCTTCTGCAACGACTGGAAGCGATTGCTGACGCAACAAGGAGCTGCTGCTTCCGCTGCCACTCGAGCCAAGGAGACCTTCTGTGGCGCGAGCGTCGGATAGGAGGTTGAGCTCTGCAAGCGTTCGTGCGGTCGAATCGACATCCAAATTCTGCTGCGAGCCAGTCATGCCACTAGCAATCGGCTTGGGGCGAACACTGGCAGCGAGGGAGGACGACGAGCGGGACTTTTCCTTGTCCAACACCTTTGCTTGGTACACGGGCGATGGGGTCCGGGGAAAGTCCTAGAAACGAGCGCAATGCAAAGATCCAAACATTGGTGAGTGTGAAACGAAATCAGGGAGAGGGAGGGAACAACAAAGTCCACAGAAATCGACTCACCTCTTGAATCATATCGACCAGGTTTCGCGGCTTCGGGCTGGTGATGCGCTGAATATCAGCGACCGCGCTAAGTTGTGGGTTTTGCGATGCCGAGCCACTGCCAACTGCGATCGTGGGCCTTGGCATGGGCGCGGACAGCTGCTGCGGCTGCGGCTGGGACGACTGTGCGGTGACTGTTTCTCCGCCTGGCTGAGAAGTAATGCCTGGGGCATCGGCGGCACCTGGATGATAAAGCGGTGGCGGCAGACGCGGGTCGAGGGGCCGTTGCGAGTAATAAAAGTAATAATACGCCGGGTCCCATCGGAACTTGTCTGGCGCGGACGAATCGACCAGTTCCTGCGGAAGATTGGCGAGCTGAGGCGGCGCAGAGCTCGAGCGGGCCAGTGGCATGTTTGCCCACAAGGATGAGGATGTTGTCGCACCAGCTGTGCTTGCTGTCGCAGTGTTGGAGGACGACGAGCTCGAGTCGGTCAGCAGGTGCGGGTCCAGCTGCATGGACGGCCGAACAGCGGGCACTGCTGCGACTGCCATGGGCGCGCACGAAGTCGTCGATGACGTGCTTGGCTCGAACGATGACATCTAAGGAAGCCTAGTCGAGCCAGAGGGCCAGGCAGCAACACAAGAACGCTTCGGGGGTGAGCCGAAACCCAAAAAAAAAAAAAAAAAAAAAAAAAAAACATGGATGTTCTTCTTCTGCTCAAGAACGTCCAAGCGGCATCCATCGGCGCGCTGGTGACTGAATCCATGGGAGGAGGGCTCTTTAATGTCAACATTGAGTTCAGAGATCGTCGCCCCTCCCCCCCCCAAACAGCCCCACAGCCCTCCCAACCCCAACAAGCGTCCATTTTTTTTTTTTTTTTTTTTTTTTGTTTTCTGTTTGTTTTTCCGTTTGTTTTTTTGTGCTGAACGAAATTCACGCCTCATCGACACGGTGTCCTCGAGCTCTGCTTCACGAGAACGCTGCATGCTAACGATGAGTGGATGACGATCCCAACAAACACAACAGAACGGCGCGAAAAAAAGGGGGGGGGAATGCGACGATGGAAGGCAATCGTCAAAGAAGGAGGAAAACCGCGTGCAGAATGCGAGACCTCGGCCGAGACATAGCTGTCAAGCTGAACGAGAGCGAGGACGAGGATGCGCAGCGACGGCAACCGACAGACGACCACAAAGACGAATTAAAGGAGAGAGTGAGATTGGAGGAGAGAGTGAGCGAGTGAGAGTGAAGGGAGGGAGGGAGGGAACAACGCGGGAACGGAATGGCGGGAAACAGCGCGCACGCCAACCGCACGACAGCCACTCCGCGTCCAGCGAATGAGGCTCAACACTGCTAAGCGCACAACGCAAGAGAGACAGGAGCAGGAGCAGCAGCAGGGCCGGGGCGCGATGGATGGCTGACAGCCAAACAAAAAAAAAAAAAAAGGAAAAAAAAAAAAAGGATCTCGTTTCTCACTCACTCCTGGTGCAGATGCTGCGGCTGTGCAGTCGGCTGGAGACGAAAAGGTGCGCGAGACAACCTCCTACGATTGATGCTGGGCGATGAGCGAGGCGCGATCGCTCGCACCAAACGGAGAGAGAGAGAGTGTGTGTGTGCGGAACAAAAAAAAAAAAAAAAAACCATACCGCAGTAAACAATAGATCGCGGGCTTGAGTGGACGAGTAGCGTTGCAGATTCTAACCCAAACAAAAAGCGGTGCTAGAAACAAAAAAAAAAAAAAAAACTAAAAAAAACTGACTGAGTTTGATTTTTTTTTTCTTGAAATGCAAAAGTGTACATCGACACCATCCCCATCACTTCATCCCCCCCCCCTTCCTCTTGATCACCAACCATGCGAGATGAGCAATCTTGAATCTGTGTGTTGCTGATCGGCGTCGCGCACTCTTTTTTTTTTTTTTTTTTTTTTTTTTTTTCGCTTTGATTTCCTTGTTCTCCTTGTTTCTGTTTGATCTGCACATCCAACGCCGGCCATCTTTCAACAACAAGCAATGGTAGACAAGACGCAGCTGTCGCTCGTGCGTGCGAACGCGGATCTGACCAAGATTGAGCCGACGCCACACAAGAAGACGCTTGCGTTTGTCAATCACTTTGTGTCGCACACTGTGCACTTTCTCAACCACTTTGCGGGCGTCTGCGAAGAGAAGGTCGGTTGTTCTCCATTTGCGTGCTTGCTGGCATTTACCATCCGCGCTTCCCTGCTCTCTCTCTCTCTCTCGCTCGCTCGCTCTCGTCTGGGGGGACAAAACTTTTTTTTTTTTTTTTTTTTCCATCTTCCCTGTTCCTTTCGTTTTGCCTGAACTGACATACAAAAGCTTCATCCGTCCGACTTTTGCACGAGTTGAGCTTCGATTGCGTTTTCTGAGGGCGACACACTGTGTGCTGTGCTGCGTGCAGTGGGCGTCGGTGAAGGCGATGCGAGCAAGCAAGACCAAATCGCCTTGGCTCCATCACGAGTCGCTCGTCCTTTCAGCCAAATCCGCGCTTCCAACTCGGCCCCAAACGCACCGCCCGCTCCTCCCACTCATTCTCCCATTTCCTCAAATCGCTTTTGGCTCCCAGAGGGGCGTCATGCGCGCGATTCGGGCACAGAAAGGGGGCGGAGCAAGTGCTTCTGATTCAGCTTCGCGCTCACTCTGTCTCTGACCTGCCTCTGACCTGCCTCTGACCTGCCTCTGATCCTTGCCACTCAACCCGAAACAGCTCAACGACGTAGCCTACCGTATCCAGCGCTTGGAAATCACGCTGAACATCCTGGAAACCAAGGTTTGTGTTGTCCCATTCGTTGATGATTCAGTCATGTTGGCTGTTCTTTTTCGCTCACCTTGCCGCTTGCCACTCGGCCTGCAGCTCAACTCAATCCCAGGCCTCGAGGGTGTTACGGCAGACCAATATGTATCTCCACACGCACAGGACGGCGCAGGCGCCCAAGTGTCTGTCGCTGCGCCTGCTTCAACGTCCGCCCCACCCCCACCGTCGAGCAGCGCCGCTCCGCCAGGTGGGTCGTCCTCGGCAGTTTTTTTTTGTTGTTCAGGTTTCGCTGCAGTTGGTGACGAGCGCTCGAGGACATTGGGGCGACTGACTTGTTCTGCCATGGTGGTGTTTGCTTTTGTTTCTTTCTTTGTTTGCTATGATACATAGGGCCGAGCGCAGGTGCTGCCTCTTCTGCTGCTCCTCCTCCACCACCAGCACCAGAGCCAGAAGGTAAGACAAACCTAGTTCGTCGCGCTACAAAGCCACGCGAGAGCAAAACGAGACTTTTTTTTTTTTTTTTCTGCGAACGCGTTCTCATGTTTCGCTTCTCTACCATTCTTCCCCAACAACAATCACAGCTCCGACTAACACTGTTTCGAACGACCCGAGGTACGCACCCTACTTCAAGCTGGTGCGCCTCGGTGTTCCAGCTGCCTCATTTGCCGCCAAGATGCGATCCGAAGGCTTGGATCCTTCCCTCATGGAGTGAGTAGACTATTGATGTCAACATTGAACGGTTGTGTGTGTGTGCGTATGTGTGTGCCGTCGTTTGTTGCTTTCAGACGATTCAACTCATCACCCCGAGTTTTTTTTCTAGTACTCCCGATGCTCCAGCGCCTGCTGGTGCCCCGGCCAAAAAGCAAGAGGATTCGGACGGCTTTGACACTGATTCGAATGATGATGGTTCGGACTTTGATGATTGATGAATGGTTGTAGATTGCTTTTTCCCCTTCTCTTCCGCTGTTTTCTTGAATGTTTCGTCTTCCCTTTTTTTTTTCAAATTTTCTGCTCCTCGCGTCCACCTCAGACGTGTACATCGGTACCAACTGATGTTATGTGAATGTTTCAATACAATACGATAATATTTTCACGACCCTTGCTATCTGATTGTTGCTGACTTTTCGTGAAATCGCTTCTCGTGGACTGGCCGTCCCTAGAACTGCAATGCACTTCTTTGAATAGCTCGAAGAAACATGCTCCCGAATCAACAGAAATCACTCAAAGATGGTAGGTACACATGAAGACAATGACAACTCCAACTACAGCAAAATCTCGTTTCGTTGATTGCTGGTCAGCGACTTGTGCGGAAGCACAATGCAATTGCGGACAATGATTTCAGCCGCAACCTCGACGCCCTTTCCCAAAATTGTGACGCCATTGTTCTTCTGGCCATTCACATATTGGTTTCCAGTGCCCGGCAGGCCGGGCACGCCTTCGACTCGCGACCATGCACCCACAATGGACTGCCAGCCGATGACGGCGTGGATGATGCACGCGTGCGGCTGAGCAAACAGAAAAGAAGGGGTTGGCACAAAGTAGAACTTGGCCCGCATCACTTGCAGTACAAAAAAAAAAAAAAAAAAAAAAGCGTACCTTAACCTCCACCTGATCAAGCACAATGGAATCCACAATGCGCACTCCAGCACCGATCTTGGCGCCTGGTCCGATGGTCACGTTTGGACCAAGCTAGACGCAGAAAACAAAAAAACGACCAAAGGAAAACACAACTTAGGGACACATCGACAATGAACACCGTCTAACGATGCGCACCTTGCAGGTCGGATCTACTGTGGCAGTAGGATCGATAATAACATCGCCAACGATGGTGGGGAAGCCTGAGCCGGCAGGCTTGGCCGCCACCAACCGTTCGGGATTGCTTTTTCGGACGAACGACAGGTAGCAGCGGTTGGCATGCAACGCAGACCTGATGATCCAACCAGTCGTATCATGCATATGAGAACACAGCGGGAGAAAGTAGCAGCCCACGGCACACGGCAGGACAGCATTGCTCACCCAGAGGTCTTGACAGCCGTCCAGAAATCCAGCGTCTTGTAGACAAACAACTTGCCAGAGCCGCTCAATTGCACGAGGACATCGCGTTCAAGGCTCACATTGTGGGAGTTGCGGGGATCGGCCTCCTCATCGTCCACACTATAGCAGGGAGAGGTTGCCCAAAACCACGCACATCCAACGCGAGTCAACGAAGAGTTCTCCCTGCAAGAAGAGGGGAAGACGGGCGCCCTCCTTCACCCCCCCCCTCCCACCTCCGCCAAAGACCGCCCCGGAGAACGAGACGAAAGGAGCAGGAGCAGCAGCAGCAGGCAGAGGGAGCGAAAAGCAAGAAATGCCAAAACCTACCCAAACTGATCACCAATCGAGATCGAGCGCCGGCGGCCCAGACAGAGCGTTGATATGGTCAAACAACTTTGGGGTAAAGATAAAGACACCGCAGCTGATGAGGTCGCTGACAAAGGTCTGCGGCTTCTCGGCGTAGTGCAGCACTTCACCAGTCTCTGGATTTTCAACCACGCAGCCGTACAAGTGCGCTCGCTCTCGCTCGACCTGTAAAGAAAGAAGTGAGTGGCAGCAATCGTGCGCACACAGCAATACCCTGAGAAACAGACCCCCCCATGTCACAACAACGATGTCGACCACACGACTTTGGCTCGAGCGCGACAAACGGGACGACATGTAAGACCTCACCTGAGTTGCCATCAGAGTAAAGTGATCCGTGACTGCTCGCTTCTGGTGCTCAGCAAGCATGTCGTTGAGCGGGAAGGACGAGCACACGTCACCGTGCAACACAAAGAGAATATCCGGCTGGCCTTCCAGAATGATGTCGCGATATCTCATCAGACCGCCACCCGTGCCAAGTGCTTGTGTCTCACGCAGGTAACTAGTAGGATCAAGTAGCGGGACGCATACGAAGACCCCCCCCCCAAAGAGCAGGCGCCACACAAGACCATTGAAACCAAAATGTGAGTTTTGCAAGAAATACTTTCAGAGACGGCCTGAACTACGAATCATGTGTTTGTGCACAGCTTTGTTGTCGGACCTGATTTGAATGCCCTCGTCCGGCGAGATGCACTGCGTCATGAACGTGGCAAACTCGGATTCATCGTAAAATCCCATGAGGAAGATTTGACGAATGTTTGGCACCTGAAACAAAAACGCAGAAAAGCAGCAAGAGTTGGAAGATCTTCACAGCCAACCATGTACCCGAGTGACTTCAAGGGAAAAAGGGAGTACCTTCTTGCACGCGTCAATGTGGTGCTGCAGCATCGGGACGCCCGCGAGCGGAAACAGCGGCTTGGCGAGCTCCATCGACAGCGGGCGGAAGCGGGTTCCTGTTTGAATGGCCAGATTGAGAGTGATTGATTGAGTTGAGTGAAGTTGGTGAAGTGAGTTGAGGGAAGTGAGTGGTGAGTTGAGGCGAGTGAAGGATGTAGATGGGGTTGGATTCGCCCCACATCACGCGCGCGCACACACACACTCTTCAAGGATGTCAGTCGTCGTGTGTCGTCTTTGCTTGGGCGGCGCGTTTCTGATCCGCTCGCAGAGGGAGTGATGAGGAGCGCAACTGAAGGACATCCTTTTTTTTTTTTTTTTCTTCCGGGATTCGTGCGCTGTGACTGAGGACGGGGGGTTGCCACGAATGCCTGTAAACATGCCGACACGCAGACACAGACACAGACACAAGCACTGGCACAGGCAGAGAGAGAGAGAGAGAGAGAGCAGGGGACGCACGACGACAAGGAGGAGGAGGAGGAGGACGCTGGTTGTGCTGATGACACTGCAAGTCGTTCTTACCCTTCTGAGGTCCTCCGATCAAAATAATAGCCTTGGCCAGCATTGTGTGTACAAGTATGTGCGTTTTGTATATGTGTGGGATTGAAGGAAGGAAAAAAAAAAAAAAAAAAGTAGGAGAACAAAGAACAAAAAAAAAAAAAAAGAAAAAAAAAAAAAAAAGAGTGCACCCGCACGATGCAGCCAGTCATTTCAGACACTCAGAAGCAAAACAAAACAAAAAACAAAACAAAAAATATCGGAAGCAAATCTATCATCGAATCTGCGCAAAGTACCGGATACTCGCTCCAATTTGCAGTCGATCTGTGGTTGTGCTTGACTTTTATTGCTTCCTGATGTTTCAATCGCTGCAGCATTCCGTGTTTGCCCCTTCACGCTCATTCGCTCACTCATCATTTCATTCATCACTTTCATCCATCACACTCAAATCCAGCTGCCGACAGAACCCATATGCAATCTCACCTTCTGACGATGCCAGAGGTGCTCGTGGAGCCTCGGTTCGAGTCGCCAACAGCAGCACCAACAGCCGCCGCTGCTGCTACCCCTACTGCTACAACGACTGCTACCCCTACTGCTACAACGAGCACAATGGCTGCCGCCGTGCTGCGGCTACCAGGACGCGCTGCAGAGATTGCCGCGTATGGAGCGCTGCTCGGCCAGCGCGAGTCCACCGTCCCAGCCATCTTTGTCTATGGGCACACTGCCACGGGCAAGACTCTTGTTGTGAAGGTGAGCTTGGTGGTCTGCGGGGGGGGGGGGCGAGCGAAGGGCTGAGCCAGCCACGCGATCGTTGCTTGACTGAAACGGTTTCACTTCTGGACGCCCTCAAACTCACCCAATGGCTTTGCTTGGACCTTGACAAAACTTCCTGAATTAAACTCAAACGCCAAATCGGAATTGTTTTGCTACATGGATTGGCCGATGGGATCACACCACTCGAAAAACAAAACAAAAATCCAAACAAAACCAAACAAAAACAAAAAAACCAAATCATCTGGACCTCGTTTCAGTCCGTCCTCCGGCACCACAACGTGCGCCACGCATACGTGAGTTGCGTCGACAAGTACACGCTGCGGCTCTTGTTTGAAGCCGTGCTGGATCAGCTCTTTGGTCACGTCCCTAGCCAAGCAGATGGCTTTACCAGTCGCGTGCGGTGCGACAATCTGAGCGACTTTGTGAGCCTGCTGGTGGAGGCAATCGACACTGTCCCGGCAGAGCAACGCTCGTCCAGTCTGCCCGCTGCAAGTTCCGGCCAAGTGCACCAACCTACTGTGCACCTGGTGTTTGACAATGCCGAGCGCCTGCGCGACTTTTCGACCGCCACCCTCCTCCCCGCGCTCCTCCGCCTCCGTGAGCTGACCATGCGCAATATTTGTGTTACGCTCATCAGCGAGCTCGTATGGGACAAGTTCCGTGCGGGCACGGGAGCGCCCGATCCCTACGTCATGTACTTTGCACCCTATTCGCAGGCCGTTAGTGTCGAAATTATCGCCGCCGAGCGACCTGCACTCCAGGTGCCCAGCGAGCTGTTTCAAGAGTTTATCAAACTCTTGTGGAATGTCTTTCACGGCCCCTGTCGCGATTTGAATGAGCTGCGACACCTTGCACAGCTGCTCTTCCCCGTGTACTGCGAGCCCGTCTTGCAGGGCACTGTCGAGTCGAGCGATTCGGTTCGTCTCTGGCGGCACATTGACCCGTACTTTCGTAAAGTGCTTGCCAAGCTCTACTTGCGTGAAATCTCTGATTCGGAGTGGGGTCGCGTCCAGCAGCAGGCTCACGAGTTTGCGGCCAGCGGGACGTCTTCTGCCAGCATTGGTAAAGTACAAAGGCGTATCTCGGACAGATGCTGCAAGGTGAACCTTGACTCTCAATTTTGATTTGTGCACCACTTTGCCTGTTGGGTTTGGATTGGTGCGGTGGCTTTTTTTTTTTTTTTTTTTTTTTTTTTTTTTTTGGTTTGTTGATTGTCGTTTTCCATCGCTTCCTCGCCACAGTTGCGGGCGGCGTCGCAGTCCAACGACTAGACATCGAACTTCCCTATCATTCAAAGTTCCTCCTAATCGCAGCCTATCTTGCATCGTACAACTCGGTGCGATCCGACTCCACCGTGTTTGCCAAACGGACGCGCGACACACCTCTCCGTCGCCGTGGTCGAGGAGGCAAGCTTGCCTCAACTCCTCGAACAGAAAAGGTACGCATCTCTTCCCCCCCCCCCTTCCCCTCCCTCATTGAACCATGTATCTTGATGCGTTCTAATTGTTATTCATGTTTGTTCCTTTTTTTGATTCTTTTGTTGTTGTTTTTTTTTTTTTCCTTTTTGTCGTTCGCGTAGCTGAGCCAGCGGCTGCTCGGACCCCGCCCATTCCCACTGGACCGCCTGTTTGCCATTTTTCACAGCATCGTGGACGAACGAGTTGACAGCACTGCCGATTTGCAGATGCAGGTTTCCTCTCTCATCAGCTTGCGGTTGCTGACGAGACATAGCGCGGCCGACAACCTGGATGCCGTCAAACTACGCTGCAACGTATCTTGGGATTTTGCTCTTGCTGTTGCACGAAGTGTTAGCTTTGATTTATCGCGGTATTTGACAGAGGTGTAGAAATACAGCGCGATCAGTCTTGTTTTGCTTGCCGTTTTGTGAGGTTTGAGATTTAGTTTGATTTGTTTGCAACCTACAAAGAATACAAGAAGAGAGCAATCGTGTCGCAAAAGCGGAGGGGCGCCTTGTTTTGATGATGAAACAGCAGCAAGAATATAACTTTGAGTTATTACTCTTGGCTTGCTTGGACGGCTTGACGCTGGGAGCAGAGCACAGCAAGTGCGCTTCGAGCGCCCTCGTCCGCTAGAAGCTGTTGCAGTGCGAGGCGTTCAGAAGCGTCGATTTCATGTCCTCGGACGACGAACGCCTAAAGAAGGTAAAAAACATTTCAAAGTCAGGGTCACGACCAACTAGCAATTGTCTCTCTCTCTCTGTCTCGCTCTCTCTCGCTCTCTCTCTCTCTCTCTCTCTCTCTCTCTCTCTCTCTCTCTCTCTCTCTCTCTCTCTCTCTCTCTCTCTCTCTCTCTCTCTCTCTCTCTCTCTCTCTCTCTCTCTCTCTCTCTCTCTCTCTCTCTCTCTCTCTCTCTCTCTCTCTCTCTATCTGCTTGAACCAAAAAAGGCCGTATCGTACCGCAGTGAGGTCAAGCAAAGCCTCATTCTCCTGCCGTTTTGCGAGGAGCGTGAGCAGAGGGATGGGGTCCGAAACAGAAGCGATTTTGCCATCCGCAAGCCGGAGAATAGCGGTCGCGGCAACGTCCGCGGCAACGCCTAGGACGAAAGCAAGACGCACAGGTCAGTGACTCTACAACCCGAATCCATCCATCACAACGAAAGAGAAAAAAAATCCACGAAACTTACCAGCGGACAAAGCGCCGTCCAGCAAGAGCTCGGCAACATTCACCTGAGCGAGGAGGACAGTTGGGATGCTGAGCAAAAACTCTTCAAACTGCACCGCTGGCAGGTGCTGTCGCTGGCTCGGATGCAGAGCAACGCCAGCGGCACGGCGAACAACCGATTTAATAGCAGCCACAAGCGGCAGATTGTCCTCCACCTCGGACTGGAAGGCCATTTGCAGCGTGGCTGTGAATCGTGCGATCAGTTGTGCCACAACTGCTGGGGTGTCAAAAGCGCAAAGCGCTTGCAGAATTTCTGCCGTTTCTTCGTCAACGCGTTCCAGCAAACTTGGCTCTGCAGCCAGCAGCTCGGAAAACACAGCATCACCAGCGATCGGGAGAGAGGGTTGTGCAGCAACGCTGGAGGGCACAACACGGTATGGGCAAGAGAGAGTGAGATGGAAGAAAAGAACAACAGTACAAACAACAGTAACGCAGTGCCTTACACAAATTGCACCTTCTCCAATTGCGTTGGCAAGTGTTGCAGGCCGTACTTGAGCAACTCGGTGGCAAAGGCAGCATGTGAGGGCAAGCGAGCCACCATTGAAACCACCGATTCCTGAATATCACAACGCACCGTTCGAACAAAAAAAAAAACCTGAGCACGAAAGCCGCACAGCGCACTCCAAACCTTCACCACCACAAAAATCTTACCAAATCGGCGGGAGTCAGCGCGCTGCGGTCTGCAAGCCCACGAATTGCGGCCTGCAGAAGAGTGTATGGCAGAGTGGCGGCGTGAGCCAAGCTGACGGCAGCGTCTGCGGAGGCAATTTCGCTTCCCTTCGGGGCTTTGACCAGGGCTGCAGCACGACGCGTGTAATGGTCGTGCACAAACTGGGCCAAGTTGCTGTAGGAAGCAAGGGGCAACTTGAGCTGGCGGGTGTGGACATCCTTGACCAGAGCCATTGCGGCAGTCAATGCGTCCGAGGCAATGTACACTTCGAGGAGCGCCTGGGCCACTTCGGGCGTCGCAGGTTGTCCGAACTCGGCCAAAAGGTCCTGAGCGCCTTCCAGCCGCGCGCTGCTCGATGCCACATGCAGCAAAGACCGGACCAACAAAGCGTAAACTTCGGCACTGGGTTGGTGCTTGTGTTCGCGCAACATATCAAACAGCTGAGAATCAACAACGCAGCACATTACAAAACGTGGCGAGTGAGGGTTGAGGTTTAGCATGCAACTCAATCCAACAAACAGCACAACAACCGTCCCACCCCCCCCCCACAAAAAAAAAAAAAAACAAAAAAAAAGAACAAAAAAAAAAAACTCACGTAGAAGCAACCACGAACATGCACCGACCAGCCAGCATGCACAGATGTCTGCTGAAGTCGGACAAGCAGCACTTGCTCGAGGGCGGCGCAATCAATCTGCGGGGCGGACTCGGCAGACAGGAAGTGCGCAACCAGCGATGCCATTTGTTGGACAGGGTAGGCAAATTCGCCAACGTCCGAGGCGGCTGAGCGCTCGGTTTTGCCCTGTGTTGGCTGCCACGTTGCCGGAGTCCACTCGGCCGCTGCTTGGCCGCGGGCATGCTGAAGGAATTGGAAACGCAGTTCGAGATAACTGTCACGATCATGCGACGCCGCACGCAAGAGTGCTGCTGCTGTCTCTGGCTGCTGTTCAAGAGCCTGCCACCACTCCAACACAGCTGGCAGAGGTGCAGGGGCGGCCGTCTTGCTGGCAGTCTTGCCGGTAGACTTGCTGGTGGAGGCAGAGGCAGAGGAGGAGGAGGAGGAGGAGGAGGCGGTGTCCGAAACGGTGGACGTGCCGGCTTCCGCTCCACTGGCCGTCGCAACTGCCGCAACATCCTTATCAAGGGCGGCAATGCTGGCGCGAATTCCGAGTTCAATGTCGTCCAGCCGCTCCTTGAGGTCGGCGGGGTTGACGGATGACTGCTGCTGGGGCTGCAGCTGAGAACTGGCCGAGCGCTGCTCCAAAGCGCGCTCCCATTTGGCCTCGGCGACGGATACCAATTCGTCGTCCTTGTCGGCGGTGGAGGGTGCCTGAGGGAGAGAAGGTGCAAACGGGCCGACCGGGGTGGTGTTGAGCGCAACGAGCATTTCGCCAATGCGCGCCTCGAGGGCAGCGCTGTATCCAGCGGGCTCTGGAGTGGCCGATTTTGCTGCTCCCGAGGATCGAGAGGACGAGAACAGTGGTCCGAGGGGAACCAGCTGATCGCGATACGCGTCAAAAGACGTCAGCATGGCCTGGAGCTCCGAAACCAAGGCAGAATCGGTGGAGATTGCATCGGTCGCTGCTGCCTTGGCGCTTGGCTTGACGCCGCTGGAAGGCACGCTCTTGCGGGGCAGCAACGCACGGGCAAGCACACGCACAAGCTGCTCCATCGGAGGGGCACCGTGTTGCATCGACTCGAGGACGAACTGGACTTGCTGCTTCAGCGCGGGTTGTTCCAGCGCGATGGCCGTCACTGGAGCGTTGAAGAAGGACTGTGCCGAGTCGCCAGCCGCGCTCGCAAGCTGAGCGGCGTACTTCTTGGGCTGCATGGCGACTCGAAGGAGGGCGAGACCGTGCATCGTCGAGTGGTCCAGCACGGGTGCAATCAACGCCAGATAGTCTGCTGCAGACAGCGGCACGCCTTGGGCTTTGGCATGAGCCAGGTGCAAGAAGCATTCCTCGTACATGGCGCGCTGTCCATACAAGACGGCGGTCGAGACAATACGGCGACGGGTGAGCGCGCGAGAAATGTGACTCTGGAAAAGCTGCGCACTTGGCGTCGTGCTCGTGAGGCCCTCATGGCTGGCGCGGTATGCGCCGCTCATGTTGAACGCGGTGAACTGGCCCGCGTCAACAGCCGAGCGCATGGACACGTCAATTTGCGGGATGGTGCGAGTCGGATCAAACGTGGCTGCCGAAACGGGGGCCTTGCTCTTGACGGCAGCAGCGGACTTGGCGCCACTGGCCGTGGAGCCCAGCAGAGCCTTGGTGACAGCCACTTGGGCCTCCTCGGCAGTCTTGGCGGATGACACTGCCGCAAGCGCCTTCTTCTGGGCAGCCACAGCGTCGGTGGCAACCGTGAGGTGCTGGACTTGGGTGGGTTTGACATGCGCATCAAGCGGTTGGTGCGAGAAGCTCGATCGGATGGCGAACGCGCCTCCCTTGCTGCCGCTTTGAAGAGCAGCCACGCCGGCCACCGAGACGGACGGCACTTCGAAAGAAAAGCCGTTCTTGGGGAGCTGGGACGCTGGCAAAGACGCCGCACCGCTGTCCGAGTCAATACCCGACATTGGCAGCACTGAAAGCTTGGACATGATCGATCGGCCGTTGGGGGTGTTGAAATACTCGAATGACGGCTTGTGTCGAATCCATCCATCGCCAGGCATCTGGATGCGCGAAACCTCGGACGCGATGCCGTGCTGCAGCGCCTCGCGTTGAGAACGTTCGAGCTGGTTGGCAACACCGTGACTGAGCTGCGAGGCATTGGGAGAGAAGAATGATCGCACCAAGGCGGATGCGCGCCTGACGCGAGAGGTGCGGGCAACACGCTCCTGGACGATGGACGAGTTGCGGCTCCCTTCCAAAAATCCTTGGACGAAACGCACCTTGTGGCCAGAGAGGGCGCCATCGCGAACCTCGCGGCGCTCGTTCAACGAGAGCTCTGCCTCCGGAACGACAAAGTCAAAAATGTCAGCGTTGGGAACGGCAGAAAACTCTTCAGCAAACTTGGCGTCAAGGTTCTGGACGTCGGCTGCCGCAAGTTGAGCGAGCGGAGAGTGCACGAAAGGAACAGCCTCCATCGCGTCAGAGGCGTCCACATCCGTTTCCTCCTCCACCTCCTCCTCGGTCGGCTCAGTCCGGTTGTCCGCGGTCTCGGTCGCTTCTGCTGCTTCTGCTGCTTCGGTTACCGTCGTGCCCTTAAACTCGGCAATTCGGCTCTTGATCTCCTCAGGGGAGAGCTTGGCAAGTTCGTCGGGTTGGAAAAGGTATGTGTGCAGGTCCAACTCGCGCGCAGCCTCACGAGCCGCATTGAGGCGATGCAGAAGCGTCTTTTCGGCAGAAATTTCGGCGCCCGAAGCCGAAGTCATGTCTGCCTCCTCGTCCATAAGCTCGGCGACAAGCTCCAGATGGTACTTTGCGTACTCGTCGGCTGCCTGTGCCTGCGTGGCATCCTCGGCCTTTTCCTCTGCGACGAGTTGCTGCTTGATAACAACCTCAAGCTCGGGCCCCACCAGCGCGTACAGAGCATTTTCAGTGTCGCGGTGAAGGGCGTGCTGCCAAAGGGCTCCACGCTCCTCGGCCGACGGGATCTTGTTGAGCTCGCGCAACAGCATGGCTTGAGCGGGCTGCATCTGCTTGGTGAGGTGCGCGTACTGGATGCTGGCAGTCGGCAGCTGGGCCATGGCGTGAATGGCGGCCATGATGGACGAGCGCTCCAGCTGCAATGACGAGGTCGAGTCGGGCGAGCGCTGTTGCGGCAACGATGATCTTGAGTCGTCGCTAGGTACTTCTTCTTCTCCTTTTGCTGCTGCTGCTGCTTCTCCTTCTTCTTGTTCTACTTGTGCTCGTTCAAGCGCCTCGAGCACCGCCGTCACCATATCAGATTCCAAGCCAGAAAGGTTTTGCAAGGCCTCAAGCTCTTCGACCTCTTCTTCGGACAAGATGGGCAGCGGCGCTTGGCGATCAGCCGACGGCCGACGCAGGTGGCGCAGAACGCGATACAACGGGACAATCAACACGCCCATGGAATCGTCAACAACCAGTGGGGCGACCAGTCGTCGTTTCTCCAGATTGTCCAGCGCCTGGTTGCGGGCCTCGCGGCTGCTCAGCCAAGCCGAACAGAAGGCCGCAGTCCAATCCTCGGCAGCCTCTGGATCGGTCGGAATGTCCAGATCCAGTTTGGCTGCAGTAGCCACTTGTTGCAGGTGATCCGACATGCGATCAAGCAAGGACGGCTGCAGTTGCGACAGCGAGCTCAACTCGGCGACCGCCGAAGCTGGAATGCCGCGGCGAACGCGAAGTTGCGCCACAACGGCAGCTCGCTGGTGCACGAGCTGAGCCAGCTTGGCAGTGGTCTCGTTGCTGGTCGCGGTCGTCTCAGTCAACAAGGACGTGCGCAAGGCGATAATTTGGGTGTGCAGGGACACAAGTTGGGTGGCAAGCTCGCTTGTGGTCGCCAAAAGCGATGGCGAGTCAGCAGAATCAACTTCCGCCGCAGGAGATGCCGCGCCAGCAGCAGTAGCAGAGGTAGCGGGAGCGGCGGCAGGGTTTGAAGCATACTTGTGCATCAACTGCTCAGCGGCCAACGCAAAGGCGGCCCTTGGACCCGACGGGGTAGCTTGACGGACAGCGGCAGCAATCGCCGTGAATGAGAGTGCGTTGGGTGCAATCGCGCCAATCAGCTTCTCAAACGCACCCTCTTCAGCAAGATGTACGTCATCGGGAATTTGACCATGGCGCAAAGCAAGCATAACATCATTGTCCGCCACCGCAAAGACGGTGAACACGGCGCCGAAAACGGCGCGTCGCTGAGTTGCGCTCAACGTCTCCCACGCGGGACGATCGGCGGCGGCCTGTGCAAGCCATCGTTCACCACTGAATCCGTCCGCGAGAGGCGCCGAATGGGACAGCAGAGCACCAGCCGTCGACGAAAGATTTCCAGCTCGCGCCGAGACCAAGGTCGGCGCATCCTCCGTAACAGCCACTTTAGTCGGCGGCAGCGCTGGCACATCTTCAAGGAGCACTTCCTCTGCTGTTTTTTCAGCGAAGACTGTCAGCGGGATGTGCAAAAGCTGTGGTTTTTTTTGTGTGTGTGCGTGTGTGCGTGTGTCAAAATCAAGTGAGAATACAACGGGGAGAAAAGCGCCATGATACGACAGCAAGAGGCAACACCCAACACACACCTTTGCACGGAGCTCCTTGTAAACAGAAGCAAGGTTGGAAGAACCGGCCAACGCGGTTGGCAAAGCAGCAATCTCCTTGTTCTCAAACTCGTGGGCAAAGAGCGGAGGCGACCAACGCGCCGACGACAGCAAGGACAAGTTGGCTCGCAGGACAAAGTCCTCCTGTTCCTTTGCAGATCGCTGGGCCATGCGAGCAGCCTACAAAGACAAAAGTAGTTGACAGTTCAAAGCGCAGACTCAAAAACATGAGCAACAAAAACCACAAACAAACAAACAAACAAACAAACAAACAAAAAAAAGCGCATTTCGACGTGGCTGAAGGGACCACGGAAGGCAAGCCCAAAGCGTTTGTTCAACGGCAACTCACAGATTCTTCCGCAGAGGCAAACAGTCGAGCGATTTGCTTCGGATTGTCCAGTGCTTCCTCGTCGGGCTCAACTTCATCCTCGCCCTTCAGCATTTCGACGAGCTGCTCGGCGCGCTGGAGGTGGTTCATGGCCGCCACGTCCAAGTGCGACACTGGAGAAGAACGACACGCACGCATCAACAAGGGGTGAGCGAGGGTGTTGTCCGACCAACAACCCATAACAAAGACACACATTTAAAAAAAAAATCCTCGCGCTTACAGTCTTCATCAGGATCGGGGTCCTCCTCCTGGCGCAAGTCAATCTCCTCGGCTCGATCGTGAAAGTTGTCTATCAGCTCGTTCTCGCGGAGGAGACGAGCGGTCAGTGCCTCAGCAGAGACGGTGGGGCGCGATGCCGACGATGATGCGTCCAACGCCGCAATCTTGGAAGCGCGGGCATGCGAGGCACGGAGAGCAGCATCGACCGTCGACGGCATGTCGATGGCGGAAATGTCTATGGTTGGAGTAGCAGTCGCTGAGGATGCTGCAGCCGCCGCCGCCACTCCGCTGTCGGTGTGTATGGCTCGCCGCAGGGCAGTCACGGCAGAAGCGGCTGTGGATCCGCCACGACGTGCAGCAAGGCTAAGCATGACGGGGAGCGAAACACGATGGCCTGCAAACAGGACGAGGAGTCGGCGGGAAGTAAGACGAAAGTGAGTGGAACAAAGAGCACAACTTTGGAGGACGATGCCCCCCCCCAAAAAAAAAAAAACAAAAATCAAACAAGAGAGCAGTATGAACATTTGGACGTGTTGAAGAGGGCGTCTGCTGGGGGGGGGGCGGGGAAAGAGCAGGAGAGGAGGTGACAGATCGACAGGATTTTTTTTTTATTTGCTTGGCTCGGACGTCCGGCCACGAGGCTTTGTTCTCTGCCTGAGGGGGGGCCCGCCTTGGGCAGCTAAGCCTCGGGGAGATGCCTGTGAGTCGTCGACGAACAGCGCGCTCGTGGAAGACAGCGAGTGAACGGATGTGCTGCAGCAGCGCACGGTGGAAAGCATGTGCGAAACACCGAGATCGCTCGCTCTTCAGTCTCTGTTGTGCAGGACGCGCTCCTCTGGCTGAAAACCTCCTGATCCCCCAAACCGAGCCTGCCTTTACGCTTCTGACTGGACTGCTGCGGAGGAGCGTTGAGGGATGGGGCTTGTCGATCTCGTGTGCTCACCTTCTGATCCAAACGGGGCGGGGAGAGAAAAACAAGAAAAAAAAAAAAAAAAAAAAAGAGGAGAAGAAAAGACTGCCAGTGAATTTGCATTGAATGGCAAAAATGCCGTGTGTGTGTGTGTGAATGCGATTGCAAAAGGAGGGTGACGAATGGAATATGGTTGTCGTGTTATTGACGAGCACTCGACCATTGCCATTTGCAATTCTGCAGAAATTTTGCGGATCGATCAGGCAGTCTTTTTTTTTTTTCCGCTTTTTCCAGCTCTTCCTGTTCTTGCACCTGTCATGTTCCGGAATCAATACGATAACGACATTACGACTTGGTCGCCGCAAGGGCGCATCCACCAGATAGAGTATGCCATGGAGGCCGTCAAGCAAGTACGAATCAACGTTTTGACTGAAGCCTGTCCTCGTTCTCGCGCCGTGCCGAAACGCAGCCACCCAGCTGCACTCTCACGCGCAATGTGCACCAGCTTGTTCGTTGCTGATCTCAATGAACGCTGCTTGAGAGCAACGCAGAAAACCCCCGTGGCTTGATGTTCAGGAAACAAATCAACAACAACGACAACCAAAAAAAAAAAAAAAAAAAAATTCGAGATCGCGAGCTTCGCGAAGCTTTTTTGCTCTACTGCACTGCATTGCGTTGTGCTCTCGGTCGATGTTCATAGCTGTGTGACTCGGGGTTTGCACTCTCGTCCCTCTTTTTGTTGTTGTTGTTGTTCTTCTTCTTCTTCTTGCCCTGCTGCATGCACTCACCTCTCTGCATGCGTTCAATCTGAACACAAACTTTTGTCGGACAGGGCTCCTGCGCAGTCGGCCTCAAGTCCAAGCAGTACGCCGTCATTGTCGCCCTCAAGCGCTCCTCGTCTGAGCTCTCGGCGCACCAGCGCAAGATCTTCAAGCTCGACGATCATGTTGGCATTGCCATCTCGGGCCTCACCTCTGATGCCCGCGTCTTGAGGTATGGACACGAGAGTGTTTTGGCGTTGCACACTGTTTGCTCTTCGATGCATCTGGTGCGTCTTGCTGTCGACATGTACCTCCCGCTCACACACATGCGTTACATGCGTTGGTCATCTCCGTTTTGCCACCCCCGCGCCCGCCCTCTTCGACGCGGAGCAGCAAATTCATGCGAAACGAGTGCCTCAACTCGCGCTACGTGTTTGAGGCCCCGCTGCCAGTGTCTCGCCTCATCTCGTCCGTTGGCGACAAGACTCAAGTGTGCACGCAGCGCGCTGGTCGACGACCATACGGTGTCGGTCTTCTTGTTGCTGGTTTTGACGTAAGTTTTTTTTGTTTGTTTGTTTGTTTGTTTCTTTTCTCGTCTGGTCGTGCTCAACCAATCCCACGCTGCTGCTGCTGCTGCTGCTGCTGCTGCTGCTGCTGCTGCTGCTGCTGCTTCCGTACACACGCAGGAGAGCGGAACGCACATCTACCAGACTTGCCCGTCATCCAACTACTACGATTGCAAGGCCATGTCGATTGGCGCACGATCGCAGTCAGCCAAGACGTACCTCGAGCGCCACTTTGAGGAATTCACGGACGCCGACAAAGACACACTTATTCGCCACGGCTTGACCGCACTCCGCGACTCGCTGCCAAGCAACACAAAGCTGTCACAGAAGAACTGCTCGGTGGGCATTGTCGGCTTTGACACGGCCTTCACCATTCTTGAGGAAGACGCCCTGTCGCCATATCTCAGCGTCTTGGACGAGGCCTCCTCCTCTTCCTCGGGCCGCGGTGGTGCCGGCTCTGGTAACGCTGCTGCCATGGTCACGGACGAGCCTGCTGCCGGTGCTGGTGAGCCCGAGGTGACCCCAGCAGAAGCGATGCCTTCTGCCGATGACTCGCAGCCACCCCAAAGCGAGGCCATGGAGACGGACCATTAACACCCACGCAAAACCAAGCCTCTATGCGATGCACTACCCAACGGCAGGCGGCAGTCGGCAGTGTGATTTTTGTTGGATGCACCAGAGCTTTTTTTTTTTTTTGGTGTGTGTGTGTGTGTTTGTTGAAGCGTGTGCGTGTTTTACCATTTTGTCAAAGTATTTCTCCCCGTTGTGTTTTTGAAATCTCGCCGTGTACACATGATCTCAACCACATGTCCAAGAACGAGCTCAGTCGTTCCAAGTGATTGCGATTCTAGATTGATGGCTTGCGTTGTCAACGGGTACACGGTCATTCCCGTCGTTCGCTCGACCGGTGCTGCGCAGCGCTTCCTGTATTGCAAGGTGCGTCGTCGGCAGATGCTAGCAGCATGCACCATGCCTTGAAATGAAACGAGGAACTCCACTGTGATTGTGATGGCGATGCTTTCCCGTCTTCTTGTGCGCTGTGCCACGAGAGCGCGAGCGAGTGCCACACATGGCCTTCCCGACGACGACCTCGCGATCGTGCCCCCCCCCCTCTCCACCGCCTCAACCTCCCCTGTCACGCTTCACTTCTGCCAGCTTGACTTGACTTACAAACCCGCTCGTTTGTTTGTTGGGACAGAAACACTCGAGCAAGGCCGAAGACAGCTCCGAGTCGCATCCAGCCGGTCGTGCGCTGTTCGTGGCCAACCTGCCGCTTGACGCTGACCAGCAAGGACTTGCGTCACTCTTCACCGAGTTTGGCACCGTGGATCGCGTTGATGTCTCTACTCTTTCCAAGGGGCGGCACGCCCAAGGAGCGCGCGGAACGTCCACCCGCCACGCTCTCCAGTTTGAGGAAGGATCGCGTGTAAGTTGTGTCGTCCGACCTCGGATGCGAAATTTCGCCTTGTCCTTGTGTTTTGAAGCGCGTTCCCCGTTTCCGCGTCGTGCTGTGGTAGAGGATGGAGGTGAGAGGCCGTCCCAAAATGAAAACAAAAAAACAACTAATGTTCACATTCGTTTGCCTTGTTTCTCGTCCCAGATTGCCTATGTTGTTTTCAGTACCCCACGAGGCGTGTCGAACGTCCTCAAGGCGAACGCAGATCGCAAGCGCGTGATTGAGCAAGCAGCACAACCTCGTGGTTTGCACAGTACGCTACACCCGCACTTTTGTTGTTGTCGCCGCGCTGCCTCTCTTCTCACTCACACACACGCACACACACACACACACACACACACACTCTCTCTCTCTCTCTCTCTCTCTCTCTCTCTCTCTCTCTCTCTCTCTCTCTCTCTCTCTCTCTCTCTCTCTCTCTCTCTCTCTCTCTCTCTCTTTCTTTGATAGAATGGATTGACGAGCACAAGAGCTCAATCATCGACATTGCCACGGCGCAAGCTGAAGTGGACGAATACATGCAAAAGCACGACGAGGCTGAGCGACAGGTAAAGCTTCGCTTGTCAATGTGATCAGTGTGAGTGAGGCAGCATGATGCGGCGGAACTCACACCCCTCACACCTTCGTTTTGCCCCCAAAATGTAGGCACGCGAAGCGGAAGCTGCTCGTGAAAATGTGCCAGACTCGGACGGCTGGGTCACCGTCTCTCGCCGCCGATCCGCGACACCGACAGCGGCTGCTCGCGCATTACAAGAAGAAGGCGAAAGCCCTGCTGCCGCGCTCCAGCGGCGAAAGAAGGCCCTTTCGGACTTTTACCGCTTCCAACAACGCGACGCCCGACGAACGCAACTGGATCGGTTGCGCGAAAAGTTTGAGGAAGACAAACAAAAGATTGCAAGCATGCGCGCCGCACGCAAGTTCCGTCCAGTGTAGTAGACCGTCTTGAGCATGGGGTTTTGCTGTTTGACTTGCTCTTCGTGTTGGTGAGATGTTTGATGATAGAATGAAATTTTGAAATGTCCTTTGCTTGCACTGGTGCGTTTTAAGGATCACTTGCTACATCGATGCACATGGTGTTGGCGAAATTCACGAGTGTATGAAAGCGTTTTGGTTGACCGACAAATTTGCAATGTGAGCGAATCAAACCGAATCACGGTCACACTGGCACAACAGACGCGACCGCCTCTAATCAGGATGGATAGCAGTAAAACGAACTAGAGGGATACTCTCGAACTGCACGGATGCAAAGCAAACCGCTGGCTTTCGCTCAGCCGAGCGCAGCCAGCTTTGGTTTTTAGGTGAAGCATGCTCTGTCCGGTCCAGCAAGCCGTCAGATCATTGACTGGTAATTTTTACGCGTTTGCATCATAACGTTGATCGCATGCATATGAGGCAAAGTGGAAATTCGCGCGCACCTACAAAAATGGAGCAAAGACTGCTTTTGAAAGATATGGTGCCAAACGATACAATCTTGCCTAAGTGACGGACCTCAATCCGGAAAACACCCCTAATACATCCATTTCACACTAAAAATGACTCAATGATTACTAACTAACAAAGATAGCCTGGTTTTACGGCAAAGAAACAGCTCTCGCATGAAAAACGTTGCACTTAAAACTGATCGCAGCAGATCGAGCACCGGCAAGCGCTTAGGACTTGATAAATCCGCAATCCGATACAAGAAATTGTATAAATGGAATTTATCCATCGATGATTGATTGAAGCGGGTGAATAAGTGGGGCCGATGTTGCTCAACAGCTGGCGAAAAGTCGAAGGGTTGACAGAGGCGCATTCTCCCACGTTTCGCGCCGACCGCTTCCACGTACGTCCAGTGCTTCCCAGTACACAATGGCCCAAGTCTTTCCATCAATTAATACCTTCCTCTCGACGCATACCGGGTAAACTCATGCTGATTTCGGACCGCCCTCTAAAAGGCCGATTTTCGCAACCTTCCCCCCCCCGGTCGTCGTTTATGAAAGTGAACACACCAGCGAAAGTCCATGCTAGTGAAATTAGAACACACCATGATAAGGTTGAGTGAGATTGTAATGTGAAATCGACAAAAAATGAACTCCAACAAGAAGCCATTGCGGCACAAATCACGAACTTGTAAGTAATAGACCGAGATTGAGACCAGGTGTTCACTGGCTTTCAATTAAAAGAGCGTACAAGACGTCGTCAACAAATGCCTTGAGATGGAAATCGACCTGCGTAAAGTCCTCTGACCGACTTTCCTTCTCTTGATAAAACTTGTACAATAAAACAGAGTTGTGTGTTAGATCTTGCGCTTCGCCCGCACAGTCGTGCTCGCAGTTGATCCCGTTGCACGATCTACAGCAAATGAGCAAAGTAACGCGCGCTCAGTCACATGATACACACAGGCATGCGGCACACGCACAAGTTCGGGGGCACAAGTTCGCTCTTACTTGAGATTGCGCACATCCCGCCGCTGTTCAGCCAACGCCATCATGTGCTTGTTAAAGTCTCGCGCAACTTGACTAAACTCGGATGCCGTGAGACGACCGTTTCTGAATCAACGCGCACAAGTAAAAAATGAGGATTGCAAGAACCGACAGCAACAAACGCTCAAAGCCAAAGAGAGGCACCCAACATTTCCACCACTCAACATTCGTTCGCCAATGAGCGATCAGAGTATCGAGCAATGAATCGTGCATGCGCGCACACACGCACGAAGCAAAAAACAAAAAAAAAAAAACAAAAACAAGACAAAAAACAAAAAAAAAAACAAAAAAAACAAAGCAATTGTATCCCCAGCCCGATCATCCACTCACAGAGAGGCAAATTGGGCAGCCACAGCATCACGAAGATTGAGCACTTTCTCTCGAAATTCGGCGGGAACACCAGTGTCCTATCGTCGGCAGTCAGAAGCACGGCAAAAGGCCAAACTGAAGGTGAGTACCAGAGATGATGAATCAGACTCGTCCCCCATTTTGGGTCCAACTCCCTCTCCCTGTGACGTCTCATGATGGAGTCAAATAAAAACAAAGGATTGTGGTGGTGTGATTCTTCGGGGTTGGTGCAGCGTTGCAAAGTTGGTGCTGTGATCAGAAACCCGCACGCAGATCTTGTCGTCATGGTGAGAATCACACAAGAGACAAGCCTCTCTCCACTCAGTACACCGACAATGGTCTGCCGTTACATCAGATGTATGGCACGGCGTCAGATCCGTCGGTGGGGGTTTTGGTTTTTCACGAGGGAAAACAGCAGCAAGACGAAATTGGTAAAAAGTGCTCCTCGGCTTCAAACCACACGGAAACCGCACTTCCAAACATCGGACTGCACGAAAGGTGTCAGGCGCGCTTTTGCCCATGGCCTGGCTGCGTTTCCCACAACGATGACCCAGGCAGGCGGCGACCTCCAACGCCCTTTGCAAAGGGCTCTGGATCGCGAGGACACGCGAGAGGAACGTCTTATCCAAAGCAATTCGTGATTTTTTGCTTTTTTGTTGTGTGTGGTTTTTTTTTTGTGTGCAATTTTTCCGCCTCGTGACTGCACCATTGTCGGGGACGACCAGCAGGAACAGGCTAGCAAGCACACAAACAGCCCAGGAGCCACACACCATAACGCCCCCCAGCACGCCACCAAGTGTGACAATCTGAGTCACCTCAACAACAAGCCCATTCGACCCGAAAAAAAAAAATCCAACGAAAAAAAAAAAAACAGAAGAAAAAAAATCCCCAACATCTGCCACTGTGTAGTTGCGAACATTCTCTGTTGTACGCGGAAGGGAGGGTGGTGAGTACTTGTGCGTGGTGTGGTCAAGACATTGGCTGCACTTTCCATGCAGCAAAGCCTCAGGACTTTTTTTTTTTTTTTTTTTTTTTTTTTTTCCCGTTTCGGCAGAAAATTAGAAAAAACCCAAAAGTTTGAACCAAACGCACGAGCAGCTTTTGATCAGGGAAGAGACGGGTGTTCCATGCCCGCATTTGCTCCAGGAAGCTGCCCACGGTGCCACCCGAGGTCGCCACATCCACCCACGGAACCACATCGGGTCGGCTCGCCCATGTTTTTCGCATCAGCTCTGTTTTTTTTTTTTTTTTTTTTTTTTTTTTTTTTTTTTGATTTCCCCCCTGAGCTGGCTTTGCTGAGAAGCGGGTGAAGAGCACCACATACAGCAGCTGCGTCGCTCGGTCCACAGGTGCTGCAAGCAAGCACACGCAGGCGACGCCCCGAACGGCCGGGTCGCCCACGCCTCACAACACGCGCGAAACTCAGTCAGAGCAGTTTGGGATTTGCACTCAATCAAAAAAAAAAAAAAAAAAAAAAAAAGGAAAAGAAAAAGCCGGACCCGACAAGGGGGGTCAACGCGCAACAAGGCTCTCAAGTGTCAGGAGGCACACTCAGTCCCTCGCATCTCAAGACCTTTGCCCCACAGGAAGCCCAAGCTCTCCGCAGAGGAGCGAGCGATGATGAGTCAAACGCGTCAAACTCCGATCCCGAAAAGAAAAAAAAATAATAAAGAAAATTCCAAAGAAAAAAAATCGCAGTTCGCACTCGCTCTGCAGCGCAGGCCAACGAAAGGGCGGGCATCAAAGCTCAAGAGTTTGTAAACGAAGCCCAGCTGCACTGGCCACTCCCCCCCCCACGCGCTCCGTGGCCAAGAGGCCGCTCGACAGAAACATCATTGTGTTTTTTTTTTTTTTTTTTTTTTCGTTTTTTTTTTTCGTTTTTTGTTTCTTTTTCTTTCCGAATCGTACGTTGCATCGTAAGACCGCAAAGCCTTCAAGCTCGCCGCTTCAGCACAGGCGGCTGCAGCTCTGCAGTCCCCCGCGCAACAAGGAGGACTCTCGTGCATTGGTGCGCCATCGTACCTGGCGCTCGTTGCTCTTGTTCAGCTGGAGCCGGGGGAGGGCACGCCGCGCGCGGACACCGCCAGGCGAGTCGGGCGGCGTCCCTGGATCTTCCTTGTTTGCGCTGTCGCCCTCGCCGCTGCTACTGCTGCTGCTGCTGCTGCTACTGCTACTGCTGCTTTTGCTAAGATTACTACTGTTATGAATGGCACTGTTGCCGCCGCCAAGCGACAGCGGTGGAGGCGACCTGCTGTTGTTGTTGCTGTTCTTGTTGTTGTTGTTGTTGTTGTTGCTGCGTGCGGTTTGATGGTTGTCATCGCTGTCGTTGTCGTCGTCGTCGTCGTCGTCCTGCTGGTGCGCGTCGAACGAGAAGCTATTGCTGTGCGGCAGTTGGCGCGGCGAGGGCGGTGGAGCGTCCTCCTCACTCGGCGGTCGCCGTTGTGGTGCCGTTGGCGGCGGGGCGGCGGCTGCAGGCTCGACGGCTGGTGTGGCGATGACACTGAGGGCTGGTGGTTTGCCCATTTTTCTTTTCGTGGAGATCTGCTCTGTCTGTCTGTCTGGCTGTCTGTCTGCGTGTGGTGGTTGTGGGGAGGGGGTGTCTGTTGAGCAGAAAAGCTGCGGGTGGGCTTGCACTGCAATGGATGTGGAGGAAGGGTGGGGTGGGGCTAGTTTCGACCGCAAGATCCGAAAAAAATGAGAAAAAAAAAAGAAAAAAAAAAAAGGAGAATGACTAACTTCTTGTTTTGAACATGGCACGTTTGCATATTCACAACATCAAAAAAACCAATTTACAGGAATCACGCAAACAGACGCAGTCGCTTTGCCGAGGAAAAATAACAAGCGAGAAAGGAAGAGGAGAAGAAGAAGAAGCAGCGGAAAAAGAAAACGAAACACAATCAACCAGCACTGAAATTTTGCTTTTAAGAAAACGCGGGAAGCGGAGCCTGCGTTGCCGACAAGAGCAGCACCGACTCTTCTGTCGGCGAGACAAGCAGTGAAAAGGCAATGCGCGCAAAGCCACGAACAATCACGAGCAGCAGATTGGTCAGAATGATGAGCAGAACGAGGCCGACCGGCGCAGTCACGGCCGACCCTCGAAGCTCGGTGAAAATCCAGCGGTGGTCCTCCATGCCGCCCCATTCGGATGGCCGGAGGGCGTTCCAGCATGCGTCGTCGTCGCAGACCAGAATCACTGCAAAGTTGAAGATGAGCGCGAGCGGCACCATCACACACACTACGACCGCCAAGACAGTAACCAGCACTGCCAAAGTCCGGAGAAAAGCAAGGTACATGACGCTAGCCCAAGTGACGCGATTGCCAAGCACGGACTGTTTGGACACAAAGACCAGGGTGGGCCAGAAGCAAAAGCAGCGCGTGAGCAACTGGTGTTTTTGTCGTTGGCGCATCCACAAGCGTGCCATCAAGCAACAATGCGTACCTTGAACGAGCGGAAAGAGTCAACCCAGCAGTTTCGACCATCGGCGGTGGAGCGGACTTCCACCGTGGGAAGATGCGCTTGCACACGCGAAAGTTGCGTGCGTCCACCGGCTTTCTCGTACAAGAAGAGCTCGAGCTGGGTGGCCATTCTCCCCAGTGCACGCCAGCTGTATCCAAGCATTGTGACCGCCGGAGCTCCTGAAGTGGCGAAACAAATTGCAGGTTTCCAACAACCAAAAAAACGAAACAAAAATGAGAGACCCCCGTTGCTCCACACGCCCTCTCTTCTCACAAACATCAAACTGCGTACCGATGGGGAAAATGCACAACAGAGGCACCATTAGAACTAGCGTGACCAGACACCACACGGATGCCACGAGCGTGAATGGCAGACTCGCGAGGAGAATCACAAACACGACCATCCATGTATGGTAGTGCAGCGGCGCAAGCAGAAATCGGACAAAGCGCTCGCAACACCTGGAGGATCCGTCTTCATACTGGTGGATGGTTGGGGTATTGCTTGAAATAACAATGGGCGCAAAGCCGGCTGCTGGCGAGTACGGCGGCGGTGCAGACTCTGCTGTCGGTGGATGGATGAGGAGCGCAGCGGCCTGATCGCTTCCGCTCCGAGGGCCAAACGAGCCGTACGACGACGAGGTGGCCACCCGCGACCCGTCTTGGTAGAAGGAGACGTTGGAGCCGCCGCTGGCCGGGTAGCGGCCGCTGTCCTCCGAGTAGACAAAGGATGATGACGAGGATCTCGCTGGCCACATGCCGCTGCCGCGGTTTGAGCCGTTCATGGATGCGGCCCGCCCCACCGAGCTATAGGCGTTGCTGGGCGATCCCACGCTCGACCCGGATGCGTACGACGACGAAAGCGGCTGCATAGTGTGTGTGAAAGTAGGTGGGGGAGGGGGCAAGTCAGGGAGTGGAGAAAAAGGCGGGGGTTAGATAAGGGATGAGCTCGAACTAATGTCCGAGAAGGGAGAACAGCTTAAGGAAGATGGAGCCCAGAGCAAGAAAGAGAAGCAAAGCCGGAGAGAGAGAAGACGTTGGTTGTATCACACTCTAACACGGCCACACTCTAACACGGCCTCAGTGCTGGTGCACAACGAGGAGGAACGAGAAGATTCACTCACACCACTCAACGCCAACGGTGTGTCCCGCTTGTGTCCTCTTCCTCTTCCTCTTCCTCCTCACGCAATATTGTCGGGCTTTTGCGCTTGCCTGCGTGTCTGGGTGCGACATCGTTGCTGGTGCGCGCGCGCGGCGGTATTGTCGAAGGTGCGCTTCACAACAAGATGAGAAAAGCGGAAAAACCTTGGTCGAGAAACGACAAGAAAAGAGAGAAAAAAAAAAAAAAATCAAAGACTGCACGCGCAGGCCGAGCATCGAGTAGGAAAGGCTCGAGTTTGAATTGTGCAGAGCAGCTCGAGCAACAGTACACTGCTCACTCGATGCGGATCTAGTTTGGATGAATTCGTTGGGTTGCTGGCAGTCGTCTTTCTTGCTGAGCATTCGGCTTCACACTTCTTGCCGACAACCGACAACAACAGCACACACTCACACACACACACACACACTCACACACACACACATTATTAACAACACTACACAACATCACAAAACCAGAACCGACACCCAAAACGATGAGTGCGATCGGCTCGGCAGACGATGGCATTGCGCCACTGCATATTGCCGCCGACCGAGGCAACGCCGAGTGCGTGAACACCCTGCTCGCGTTCGACGCCGATATCAACATTGCCAACGTGTCTGGCGCCACCCCGTTGCACTGGGCAGCGCGTCGTGGCAAGACCCAGGTGGTCAGGCTGCTGTGTTCGCACGGAGCCAAAGTCAATCCCAAAGACACGGTAAGCCTTCATGCTGGTTCGGTGTCATCATTGGTGCATCACGCCACGCGTCTCTTTCCTCCCCCGAGTTTCCGAGTTTGGTCGAGTAGTGGGTCGAAGCTGTTGGTTGGCTGGTTGTTGTTGTTGGCTGGTTGCTGTGGTCGTTGTGGTCGTTGTCGCTGTTGAGCGAACCGCGGACTACCGTTGCTCAAAAGCTGACCAAAGCTGATGACGGCCGGCAACCTCCTGTCGCAAGCCCCAACGACATGCGATAGAAATCCATGATTTCGTTTGCTTCTCAACAAGTCAAACAACCGGAAAGCGAAAAAGCGGCTGGGCTTGGACTGCGGGGATTCACTCGAACTTGTTCTCGTTGATTTTGGCTGTTGCAGACGTTCCGTTGCATAGCTCACCGTATCTTTGTGCAACAGAACAATCAAACACCATTGGCATACGCCCTCAAGAACAACCACCCAGAAACCGTCCAGGCGTTGATCGAACTCGGCGGCGACATTAACGCACTCAAGTGCCAAGACCCGTTCAGCGCAAAACTGGCCACACTCAAGTGTATGCTTCGTGGTTTGCCTCTCGTTTGACCACCAAACCGTCAACACTGGCGGACAATGTGTCACTGACTTGCGGATGTCTTGCGTTATTTTGTTTGCAGTGGACTCGACGAGCACCCAAATTCTCTCGCTCAAGCAGCTGTGCAAGATTTCCATCCGCGACCACTATCGTTATACTCAAACTGCCAGACTGACAGATGTTTCAGACGATTTGCGCGAGTTTCTGGGTGCGATCGATCCGCCAGAAATGGCTGCGCTCCGATTGCAATGATGATGGTGTTTTTTTGTGACAAGTTTTGTGCTGCGGTGTGTTTGGCAAGGTTTGAACTTGTTACACCCCAACCGATATCTGTTAGCTCAATGCTCCATATACTTCGTATCTACCTATTTCTCTCTCTCGGGTGGAACAGAAGTTTCTTCCCCGACTTACTGCAAAAAACATTCGTTTGCCACTCCCTAGCTCGGCTCCCTCATCTCACAGCAGTTCGAGGTTATCTTTGCTCTGGATGCATCATCCTTGTATTTGCTTGGCACGCTTTTATTCGAACACGCAGCTTGAATGGCGGGATAGACGGCACACAATTCGTACTTTTCCCAACTTCGACAATGCAATAGACGTTTGTGTCAAAACCAGCCTTCCTTGCATTAACCGCTCCCCCCCCCCGTTTTTTTTCCTTTTTTTTAATTTGCCAGCAATGGTACGCCATCTCGAGCAAGCGCACCCCTTCACACAAACACTACGCGTCAATTGTACACATCAACTTTGCATAGGAGAGAAGCGATTTCCTCGAACGGTACATGCTGCGCTGGGACACCCCTGAAATCAAAATCTGGGCAGAGTTTACTGCTGCTTGGAGCGCAAAAGCGCTGACAGGGACGTGGGATGCTGCTGCTGCTGTGCTGTGCGCGCCACTGGGGAGGGGCTGTTCCGCTGCAAGTGATACTCGCCCGGAACCACTTTCAAGGGGGTGCTGCTCGTGTCGCTTTCACCTCCCAGGTGTTTGCCGTCCTTGAGGGCTTCGTGCATCGAATTGGGGCGCGCGGGAGCTGGAGGCGGCGGGGCGGCTCGCTTTGGCACCAGCGGAGGCGTGCGCCGACGGTACTGCTCGGCCATGGCCACAAGTTTGCTCGTCTGTTCCTGCAAGTCGGCGTGGGGTGCGGCGGAGGCCTGCAACCAGCGTTGCTGTTGCTCGGCGACAATCCGCATGGTAAACATGCGGCGCTGTTCTGCCAGGGCTTGCTGCAAGTCCCACTTGGTGCACATGCGCGTTTGCAGCATGAGGCCGTACATGGAGCTGGCGGAGTCTCGATTGGCCGGCAGGTCCTCGTCCTCTTGCTCGGCGTTATCTTGATCGTTGACGTCGTCGTCGTAGCTCTCGATGCTCATCGCGCGACGGGGCGTCTGACGGCGTTGCGTTGAGCGCAAGGGCAGCACGAGCTCGCTCAGCGGCGAGTCAGCGTCAAACGCGTCCTCCTCCTCCTCGCCAGCCGACGCTGCTTGCTCGTGGACGCCGGGAGCGTTGTCAGAAGCACGCGCGCTCTGTTCAGGGCCTGCAGACTCTTCGGGGATGACGGAGACCCGACGAGCGGCAGGCGACTCTACCATGCTGCCCGTCGAAACCACCAACTTGCGATTGAAGGCCGCGCGGAACTGTTGCACTTGCAGAGCCTCGCAAAAGGCCTCCTTGGCCTCGGTCGAAAGAAACTGCAGCTCAATGATGTCACGCGTTGCCATGTTGTAAATGTGCAACACTGGGCTGAACGACATGACTGGCGGAGGCGCAAAGCTCTCCGTCCACGAGCCTCGCCTGCCCATGCGCGGCTGTGGAGAAAGCCCGGGCGACTTGGATGTTGACACGTCGTTTTGACGCACTTGGATTTGATTGACCGGCATGGAGAGTTTGAAGCTGTGGTGGAATGGCAGGGCAAACGAAGCGGGAATTCGTAATTGGGCAACTACACGGTGAGTGTTGTTGTGAACCCAGCTTTGCGCTCGCTCGACACGAAAAAGCAAAAGAAGAAAACCACGAAAATTGAAACCGAAACGAAACCGGACGTGCACATCCCTCTGCCCAAGAACATTGGCCATCCATCCATACTCAATCACAAAAACAGACAAAAAAAAACCACCGATGCCTGCCAACTTACCGTTGATGCGTGCCGCTGCTGGTCGCCTTTGTGCCGCTGCCCCCGGGAACAAGAGCAACGGAGGGCGCTGTGAGCAAAACGAGCATGTGCTCAAACAGCAGAACATGCCTGTGACGCTTGGTAATGTTGGCAAACAGCGAGGGCAGGAATGTGATGCTTTCGATCGGGTTGGTGCCGAGCGAGGAGCCGTCATGGCCTGCGCCACCAGTGCGTGTGATGGCACTTCGTTTGAAAATGACGGGGGCCTCAGCAAGCAGCCGGCCGCAGGCCGATTGAGTCAAATCCTTGTCTGGCCAGTTTTCTGTGCCCGCGCGGACAATGTCGAACGTGTCGAGCTCGCGACGGACCTGGTTGAGATGCTCCGCCAGACCTCCAACGGCAGCTTGGGCCTGCTGGATGGCGCGCAGCCAGCAGGGCTCGGACGGCTCGGCGTTCACCTTGCCAGAGTCGCTGCCTGTCTTGCCTGCACCTTCGTCAGCGTCGCTGTTGACACTGTCTGGAGGTAGGAACTCGCCGAGCGCAGTGGTGGCTTCCTTTTCGAGCTCGCGCAGCAGCAGCGGATACTTGAGCAGCCGCTGCACTGGCTTGATGAGAAACGCTGCGAGACCGAGGGTCTGCCGCAGGTCTGACTGGCACTGTCGCACAAGTGCCGCCGTCAGCGAGGCGGGATTCTTCAGCAAGTCGCCAAGCATTGCCTCTGCGCTCGGGTAATTCTCAAAGTATTTGATGTACAGCGGCTGCAACACTTGAACGCTGTCGGCAAGGGCGTTGCACAGCGCAGCCACCACGCGACCCCGCGCCTCCGGGTCTTGCAGGCTCACGCTACTCTGTGGGATGCGCACCTGCAGCGCCGGCGGAGCGGTGGCCGAGGCCTCGGTCGCTGTTGGCGTCGCCGGGGTCAGCCACAAATGCGGGGGCGGCGACGCCGGTTGGTGCGAATGCTGCTGCCCCTGCGCTGCTTCCAGCCGAGCCAGCAGTGCGCAGTGTGCCGCATGAATGTCTTCAATGTTGCAAAAGATTGCGCGGATTTGCGACTGGCTGGGTGCGCCGGGGAATGCAGATGCAGGCGTGGCGAACTGCGATGGCGGTGACGTTGATTTAGCACGGCCACCTTGTTCTTCCTTCACATGATTCACGTCCGCCTCCTTCCTGTGGCTCGCACCGCTGGGGCTGTCGGTGCTGTCGCTGCTGTTATCGCTGGCAAGCGAGCACCCGGCAGCGAGCTGAAGCGGCCGCATGTAGCCCGTAATGACGAGCGCGAGGTCGTCCACATACCCGCGTTCAGTCAGCAGCAGCTCCTTGATGACCAACGCAAGTTTGTCCATAATTGACGAGTGGTTTTCTTGACTCGTGATCCGTTTTTGGGGGAAAAGCCTTCATTGGATTTCGTCTGGTGTGTCGGTGAACGGCTGTAGGCTTATGGTGTTGCTTATGGTGGAAGGCTCAGCATTCTGATTCTGTTGTTTCGGACCCGTGCGCATCCCCTCCCCCCACCGCCTCCCTCTCCCCTTTGGCAGTTGCTCGCACGGATTTGAAACAAATTCTGGCAGCATTGAAATGTAAAACAAACATCCATTTTGAATCACTCGGTGGCGGTCTGAATCTGCTTCGAGTCGGAGCAACCATTGTTGCAAAACATCACTTTGAATTCATCGCCATGAATTGCTTTTGCAGGTCTTCCAGATCCAGACTTGCCGCTTCTGAAATTTCGGACGTCACCGCGGCATCCTGTTCAGCGAAAAAAAAAACCCACACGAGTGCAACAAGTGAGTGCTGGAAAGCTTCTGTGAAGAAAGAAACAACAAAACGCCTTACAGCATGATGCGAGGGCGCTGGAGCGTCGTATGCCCGATGCACGCCAGCAACCAAGCCTGCGTTAGCATTGTGGCCTGCCACAGCCGGCTCGGCAGAGTCGGAGACAAGCTCGATACCTGTTCCAACAACAGATCAAGCCAGAAAGGGAAAAAAATAAAGTACATTGCGAGCACACTGTGAGAGCTGACTCACAATGCGATCCAGAGCACTGTGAGCATCCAACTCACCAAAATCGTCCTCGTGAACAACAGCTTCTTCAGCCACGGCAGCGACTGCCCCGTCCGCCTTTGGTTGCAACGCGAGCTTTTCCTGGTACAGCTGTTGCTGGCGCCGGCAGTGGAAATTCGTGCACTGTTCGTTGGGCCGGAACTCCATCGAAGGGAAAAAGTCGAGCATGGCGTTGTAGCCGAGGTAGCGCGAGACTGTGCCAAACTTTAGCAGGTATCTAATGACCACAAAAACGCGATAAGCGATACATGGCCACGTTCAGTCAGGAAGCATGCACATTCGTTCGTCACCAGTGACCGTTGCAGTGACAACAACTGACTTACTTGAGCGTGTTTTGAATGAGGAAGCCGGCGACAATTCCCATGGTTGTGGGCAACGATGCGGCGCACACACCGTCTCGTTTCAAGGTTTTCTCGTCAATGCCAGAGGCAACAACCAACGGCGGAGCACACTACACATTGAAGGCACCGCACGGAAATGGAAATATCCCCGAGAAATCAATGAGATTGCTCCATCCACCTCCTTCACAGGTTTGCATCCGGCATGCACTGAAAATGGCACCCACCGCAAAGCACGCCGTCTCTCCCGGAATCAAGAGCTGAATGTGGCCAGAAACTGCATTCTCAGACACGCCCGATTCAAACCACGTTTGCCCAATCTCGTTGCATGCCTGCACAAAGAGTAAGTCAGCCAAAAACGGTTCCCAGCGACAACGCAATCACCAGCGATAAAGCTTTCGTGCGAGTTCCAACGCACCTGGTTGATTGCCATGCGCGCTTCAAAGTTGTCGACGCAGCTGAGAACGAGATCAACCGGTCCACCAGTCAAGCTACCTTCCTACGTGATGAAAAAACAAAACAAAACGAACAAACAAACAAACAAACAAACAAAAAAAAAAAAAAAAAGCAAGTCAGCCCCCAGTCTTATCACGGGCAAAGGGCCGAGCCAAGTCCGTTCTATACACAGATGCAAGCCAAAACAATAGAAGAGAGAGAAACAACAACAAAAACAGACAGCCCACCTTGATACGGCCGACAAAGTGGGCAAAGTTGGCAACGGTCGTCACGTTGTAATTGTGAGTTTCAATGGTGACGTCGGGATTGATGCCTTGGAGGGTCTCCTGAGCAGCCTGCACCTTGGAAAAGCCAGACTGATCTGGACGGAAGAAGAGTCTGAGCGACCAAGGCACAGCAGCACAAAGTTAGCAAACGAATTCTGCCACCAGACTGCGGGGAGAGATGCACAGATCATTCACCGGCACATGGCGACAGCGCGTTGGCTCACCGATTCATGTTGGCTAACTCGACCTTGTCATAGTCGAACAGCAGCAGCTTGCCAATACCGCAGCGCGTGAGCATCTCTGCCGCGACGCTTCCAACACCGCCGACGCCGACAATGGCCACCGTAAAGTCACGGATTCGCTGTCAGAGTAGCATCATTTTAGATTTCGGTGAGTTTGTACGTTTGTGTTGTGTGTGAGGCCTCGTCAAGCCAAGCGAAGTGAGCAAAGGGAACTCGGGCTGACCTCATAGTTGTCCACAATGCCCATGCGTTTGAGCGCCATCAAGCGACTGTCACGAGACACGCAGCATAACAGTCACACAAAGCACAGCCAATGCAGTGAGTTCACCAATGGACGGCCACAAGACGGAGAGGAAGCGGGTAGTTGGGAGCAAGGTCATGCTGCAGCCTCGGTCCCCAGCGCTTTGGCCTCCATTGTTTGATTGCCTTCACCTGTAAGGGTTGCTGTCGACGACCTCGGAGCTCATCGTGGCAATCTTGGTGCGCTTGACGAGGCCCGCCGTGGTCGATGGCTGGGCCGAGCCGAGCGCTGCTGCGAGCTGCTGTTCCAACGCTGCGACGCGCGCACGCAGTTCGTCTTCCGTCTTGGTCGATGACATTAGTTCAAAAGAAGAAGAAAAGAAGAAAAAGCTGAAAGAAAGCAAACAAAAAAAAAAAAACAAAAAAAACAAAGTAGGACTGGGCTGGACCAAGTCGAGTGCTGAAACGCACAAGGTGTTTGATCAGCACCAAACCACATCAACTCACTCACTCCACTCCACTCCACCCGAATATACAGATCCATGCGCAGAATCAATCACGAACTACCTTTTCCGAGCCCATGCCATGACATGCATGCATGTCCAGTCTGTTTTTCGTTTCACTCGAAATTGAGATGTCTCAGCCACTGCCCGCAACCCACGAGCTCCACTCGGGCTACTTCCATCCGACCCTGCGCAGCTGGCAATCGAACGCAGCACATCTCGCAGCGTCGCAGCTCATCTATCCCCTCTTCATCTCGTAAAGTGTCCACGACAACCAATGTTGCTGCTGCTGTTGCTGCGAGACCGAGACCACGGAGACTTTTCACTTTTTCACTCGCACTCTCACTCTCACTCTCACTCTCATTCGACTCGATTGAAACTCGACCGAACATATCCGATCTTGATCTTACTCCCCTTGTAATTATCACATCCCCACCACGGCAGGGACGTCGAGGACAACTGGGAGGAGATTGGCAGCCTGCCTGGCCAGTTCCGCTTCGGCCTCGCTCACATCGACCGCGTCGTCGCACCGCTGGTCGCAAAGGGACTGCGCACAGTGCTCCTGTTTGGCGTCCCCGTGCAAGTCCCCAAAGACGCCACGGGCTCGCTGGCCGACGCCGACGACTCGTGCGTTGCTCGTGCCGTGCGCCATCTGCGCAAGACCTACCCAAGCCTCCTTGTTGCGTGTGACGTGTGTCTCTGCCCTTACACCAGCCATGGTCATTGTGGTACGGTTGATTCGCGCCGTGGGGCGGGGAGAGACCAGCGCGTCGCTTTCGGTGCTTTCAATCTTCTAAGCCCCTGACCCGCAACGCCCTTTCTTTCTTCCACACAGGAATCCTGTACGACGATGGCACCATCAACAACCAAGCAAGCACCGAGCGTCTGGCTCAAGTGGCTCTGTCGTACGCACGCGCTGGTACGAGTCGAGAGAATCAACATCCACCGGGGATTTTGCTCACTGAATCCGCTATATGTGTGGACGCAGGTTGCCAGATTATCGCTCCGTCTGACATGATGGATGGTCGCATTGCATCCATCAAGACTGCTTTGCGCGGCGCTCACTTGCACAGCAAAGTTTCCGTCATGAGCTACAGCGCCAAGTTTGCCTCGTGCTTCTATGGCCCGTTCCGTGACGCTGCCAAATCCGCACCTGCTGCAGGCGACCGCAAGTGCTACCAGCTGCCTCCTGGCGCTCGTGGTCTGGCGTTGCGTGCCACTGTAAGAATTGCGCTTTTCAGTTTTGCTGGCAGCGTTACTCCATTTCTGTCGGCATCTTCAATTCTGGCATGCTGCACTGTTGACGACATGCTGCACCGTCTAGGATCGCGACGTCGCGGAAGGCGCTGACATGCTGATGGTCAAACCTGGCGGTCCGTATCTGGACATTGTGCGCGACGTCAAGAACAAGTATCCCGATGTGCCGCTCGCCATCTACCACGTACGTTGTTCTCGGGTAGCAATCCCCACAGTGGCTTGATTTTGCTGAAACGTTCATCATTCACCTGTCGGTCCCGTTTACTTTGACAGGTGTCTGGCGAATTCGCAATGCTGTGGCACGCCGCCAAAGCCGGCGCTTTTGATTTGCGCGCAGCAGTCCTCGAAACTGTCCGAGGCATGCGTCGTGCAGGTGCAGACATCATCATCACCTACTACACACCCCAGCTGTTGGATTGGCTGCAAGACGAGCAGCAATAAAAGCCAGATACCGTCATCTTGTTCTTTTAATGAAACAAGCCAAGCAGGAACCACATCGAAAGACGTGAACAAAAAGGCAAACCACGCCATCAACAACAGTTAGAGCACGCATGCAAAAACACAACAAGCACAGAACAAAAAAATGGGAGTGCAAAAGCGTCAAAAAATATTGCATCCAAGAAATTTAAAACAAAACAAAAAACAAACAAACAAACAAACAAACAAACAAACAAACAAACAAACAAACAAACAAAAAAAAAAACCTACAAAGACAAAACTGGAACACGGAAACAGCACGAGAGCGAAAAAAACAACAAACAAACAAACAACATGGAACTGGAACAGTGATAAAACTGCTAGCAGCAACCTCCGGATTGTGCCTTTGGTGCGACATCATCGTCAACCACAATCGCCGTCTTGCGACCCACGGTCGACGTGCCGCCTCGCTTGTCTGCTTCGGTGATCATACCTGTCGTTGAAGCAACCATCACAGGCAAAACAAAACCAAACGAGATGATGCAGGGCAAGGCAAAAAAAAAAAAAAATAAAAAAAAATAAAAATAAAAAATCAGCTTCTGCGAACAACCCTTCAACTCCCCAGCTCTAGCTCCTCCATTGAACGTACGTTTTGACAAATCCAAGAACAACTCCTCAATGCCTTTGCTTAGCTTGGCAGAGGTGTAAAAGTGCCGAGCACCAACGCTTGCAGCGTACTGTTCGGCAGCCTCGGCGCTGACGGTGCGATGCTTTTCCAAATCACTCTTGTTGCCCGCAATCACGAGCGCAATGTCGTTACCGAGCATCTTTTTGAGCTCCTTGACCCAGTTCTTAACCTACATTGCAGGTATGGGAGAGTCGGAGTGAGCCATGACAGACACGCATGCAATTATTCAATGCCAAACATATGGGGGGGAGGAGGGCCACTTGTACCTTCTGGAACGAATCCTCGTCGGTGATATCGTACACTAGAATTGCACCATTGCTGTCGCGGTAGTAGATCGGTCCCAATGCGTGAAAGCGTTCCTGGCCAGCCGTATCCTGCAAACACAAAATCAAAGGACGGCATGCAGTGAGCAACATACCACAGGCAGGACCCTGGTTGGTCGACAAGCTTGGCCAGTCCCGTACCCAAATGTTCAGATTGACGCGCTTGCCACCAATATTGAGCCGCTTAGTGAGGAACGAGGCCTGTGTGACACGAGAAAAACAACGACAGCAGCAGCAAAGGCGGGTGAGATTCAATAAACGAAACGAACGCACCAAACAACGCCGTTTTGGCTCGAATGGCGTGTAAGGAAGGTAGCGATCGAATGGGGTGTGCTTTGTTTTTTTTTTTTCGTTCAACCGAGATGGACGAGACGACGATCAGGATATGGAAAAATCAAATAAAAATAAAAAAAAAAATCAACGTCGCAGCAGCACGAGTTCAGAATCAAAAAAAAAAAAAAAAAAAAAAAATAGGGGAAAAAACGAAGCCTGCACTCGGGCCTCAATGACACCAGTGACTACCAAGCAAGGCAATAACGCGGCGAATGGCGATGGAAAGCGAGAGGGAAGGAACGAAAGGCCCGCGGGAGGGAGGGGGGGGGGGAAAGGGAAAGCAGAACAGCGCGGCTCAACAGAAACGAGAAAAAAAAAAAAAGACAGCAAAGGGAGGCTGAGAGCGGAGGATGCGTGTTGGATCGCCAGCCACAGCAGCAGCAGCAGTAGTAACGAGCAGTGGCAGTGCGTGCAGCGGCTGAGAGGAAGCAGGCACAGCGAAGCGAGCAAGAAGAATAGCCAAAAGAATGAAACAAAGGACAAAAAAAAAAAAAAAAGCAAAAAAAAGTGCAACCGTTCTTCTCGCGCAGATGGCCGGCACCACGACCAGTCATGCGTGGAAGAGTGATGACGGCTGAGGCTTTGTCAACGCCAACGAGAACGGGGAGAGGCGGCAGAGTTGGGGGAAAAAGGCGCAGCGACATCACAGCCACACGAAAGAAAAAAAAATCAGCGAGCAAACCGTCAGCGTAGTGCAGCTATTTTTTTTTTTTTTTTTTTTTTGGTTGACTCGAGCGCTGGGATTGCAACACTTTGAGTTGGATCTGGATCGCAGACACCCGAACGGAGCGTGCAGACAACATGCCCTCCACGCAGCAGGGTTGGAGGAGAGGCCACACGCTGCACGGTGAGCCCAGGACACGACTCGAGCCAAAACGAAACGCGCGCCTGGTAGGCGTTGTTGGAGCTGCTGGCGCTGCTGCAGACACGACAAACTAGAGGACGTGGCGTGTGTGTGTGTATGTGCGGGGGCAACGGACGGAAGAAGGGGCGGGGGGAAAGGGCGCTCGTGCTGTGTGTACCTGAAGTGTAGAAATGTGCTTGTCGACGAATCGGTTTTCGCAGTAACGAAGAACGAGAGAGGTCTTGCCGACGCAGCCTTCGCCCAGCAGCACAATCTTGAACGTGAGCGAGTCGCCCATGTCGTCTTGAAATCGGGTGTTTAAAAGTAGAGTGAGAGAGAGTGAGAGGGTGAGAGAATGAGAGAGAGAGAGAGAGTTAGGGCTCAAACAATTTGGACTGACCCGGAGAATTTTTATTTTTGTGCTCTTCTACGATACGTTTGTTCACAGACGCAAAGATAGGAGCAGATAATAACGTGATGATCCTGTGCACTGCAACATGGCGCAACATGTCAAAGCGATGCGACATCCAAAAGAAAAAACCGGGAGATACAGTAGATCTAATTGCTGGATTTGTCCAACTTTCAGTCATTTTCGGGTTCATCTCGCCGTATCCAATCTCGCCGTCTCTCGGACAGTCCCTTCACCTCCCTTCGCTTTTTCTGTTCACTCGCAAGCTGTCACAATGAGCGACGTTGTCGAGAGCTGGACTGAGGACGCAGGTACCTGCCCGTGCTTTTGACGAGTTGCTGCTCATCCCAACCCAACCCACGCGCCGTTTCGCCCCTCCGACGGCGACGCCTCGTGCTTCCCCCCACCGAAGTCTCCATTCTCCTCCATCCGCATCCCACACACGCAATTTTTGTCTGCTTCTCGAGTGCCGTTTCTATTGCTGCTCTGCGCACGGCCGAGTTCCAAGTGCACCTCGCGAATGATGGCGCCTTGGTTACAGGCAGGACTTCTGTTTTCGTCTCATTTTGCAACGTTGAGCCGAGTAGCACAAGCCGAGTAGCAAGCCGAGTGATGGCAATGAGGCATGCAATGCTGGCTTCTATACAACTAAACATCTCCTCACTTTGAGAGAGAGAGCGTGTGCGTGTTATGCTCCACAAGTGCGAGCCGACACAATTCGCACAGGAAGGTTTGGCGATTTGGTTCAACTGCATTGGAGTGGAAGAGTGTGTGTGTGTGTGGGGGGGGGGGTCGAAGGCGCACGCGAATGCCTTCGAAAGTCCGTCCAACTGTAGGCTATGCAGATATGGGGACGGTGCACTGGGGCGCGGTCTCGCTCTGTTGTGCTTGACATCAACTCGAACAACAACAACACTCCAGTTCGCGCCGCCAGGAGCAACCAACCCCACTGCACTGACGAGTGTGCCACTTGAGTTGAGACTGCTCACTACTGCACACACGCCCAGCGTATTACGCCGAGGCGACAAGGCCGTTTTGCACTCATCTTGTTGTTCACTCAATCTCGCTCAACCTGCGAATGCTCACTCACTGTGGCCTCTGACAAAACTCAACAGTCATCCACTGGCTCTCAGGACTGTCACCTGACATTGCGCGCTACGCAGGCGCCTTCCGCCTCAACAACATTACGGGCAAGCGCTTGGTATCACTGACGTCTGAGAAGCTGGCCAAAATGGGGTAAGGCTTTGTTTGTGATTCACATCCATGTCAATTTTTGTTTGCTTGCTGGATTGTTTGCTTGCTGGATTGTTTGCTTGTTTGCTTGTTTGCTTGCTGGTTTGCTTTGTTGAATTCGTTGACCGTTGGAAACTGACATTGCGTATGGATGGGCGCCCCTCCCTCTTGTAGCGTCGCGTCACTTGGCCATCAAGACGACATCCTCGAGGGTATCCAGGCGCTCATTGCGCAGCCAAAGGCCGGGCTGGTGATGGAAACGGTGCCGTTGCGCACAGCCGATCAGCTCACGAGCGAGCAGCAATTGGATCATGCCGTGGAGCAGTTCTCGGACAACATTGCGGTGCTCATTCGAGTCGTGAAGGCCAATCCTGGCATCGATGTTGAGATTATCAATTACGCGGCCATGACCCTCTCGCCGTGTGGAGAGCTCATCAAGCTGATGGCCAACCACTCCAACCAGACCCCATACTGGATCAACCAGCGACAGCTCCTGACTCAGTCCTGCGCACTTCTCGGCGGCAAAGCGCAAGACATTCGCACCAATGGTGAGCAGACTGCGACAACCGTGCTTCATTTCCTTTTTGTTGTTTTGAAGTTGCTGGTTTTTTTGCTCACGACTTGTTCCAACGTGCCCAGGCTTGAGTGACGAGCGCCAAAGCGAGATGGCGACTGCCATTCCCGCGTTGGTGAAGAGGTTTCGTGACTGTAGTGAGTTGCTCCGCAGCGAGCTTCATGTTGTCCAGATTGCCGTGGCTGGATCGCCCGAGCCACAACGGCCCGTGTCTCCGCCAATGACGCCATACGTCGAAGTGCCCGACTCGATTCCATCTCGGCCAGTCACACCCACCTACATTCCCCTGCCAACCCCATCGTCGAAGCGGACGTCGATGGCTCGAGACTCGAATGATCGGTGCGTACCTTTGCCCCCCCCCCCGCTCCACACACCCACACACCCACACACACACACACACCCCTCGCACACATACACACATCTTTTCCTCGTTTGTTGGGTGGACCAATTCCACTCCGATTTCGGCCCTGTCACGGTTGACTTTGTGCATGGTTTGCATCGTTTCGACGCGTTTCTCAAAATGTTCATCCTTTTGTTCATTAGAGCCATGACCAATTACGAAGAGGTCACCAAAGAGCTGGCGCTTCGGAAGCACGCCGATCCTGAGCGAATGGAACAGAGCAAAGCGGGCCTCGCCACCCTGGATGCGCAGGTCGGTGCGCAGTCCTTGACCCGACTCCTCATTGCAGTCGAGCGCCATCTCAATGTCGCCCGTCAACTGCTCGAAGACATTTTGCCGAGCATGTCCCAGCTGACCTCGTCGTTGGAGAGTGCCCTGTTTAGCGTGTGTGAACTCTTGGACTATGTTGACATCACCTTTTCGGATGGCACTGAAGTCCCCATGCGACGCCAAGTGCTGACGTTTGCC